TGTGTGTGTGTGTGTGTGTGTGTGTGTGTTTTTATCAGGTCCAGGCTCACAGTGCCCAGCAGGCACAACCCACCAAATTGCTCAGTTTGATGCAGGACACACACAGACACACACACAATGGTTTGATTTTTGGGGTTATTGGCAGCTTGTAATATTGACAATAGGAATAATAATCAGCTGTTACTATAGTACCATGTTGCTCAATTCACAAAAACAACAGCAATGGCAGTAAAGTAAAAACAGAAAAGTAAGTAATAAAAGAAAAGAATACTGTAGCTCAAAACCTCCCACTGATTCCTCCCTAATATCCTTGAAAATGTTATCCACAATTTGGGGTAAAAAAGAGTTGCTATCCTAATTGTCTTGTGGTTCTGAGCCTGCAATAAACCTCACAGTGGGGGATCTGAGGAAACACGAGGGCTCGTAAAACAACAAGGAGTCATAAAATATGAGGATTTTCTCCTCATGATGTTTAAAACTAATTCTAACTTAAAAAAAAAAAAACAATTTACTCCCATTAACTCATCACACTGTGAGCAATATAGAGGTAAAAAGAGAAATACTTAATACTTTCCTAAACAGCAGAGGCAGCAATTAAGAAGATTGCAAGAACCTTAAATGCTCAAAACAAGGCTTCTAGCTTCACAAAATGTCATTGTCCCCTGCTCTCAGTGTCTCTCTGATGGGGGTCACGGGGGTCGAGTCACAGGATTGGAGGGTGCCGAGTGCTATGCCTGCTGGGTAGTAAAGTAGAGGAGACGGGGAGCGGGGGTGGGGGTCGGGGGTGTTTGGGATGCAGGGGTTAACAGAGGTGAGAAGGTAATTGAGATCAGGCAATGTGAGGAGTGATGGGTTTCATTTGTGTGAGGGGAAATCTAGGAATCAGAAATAATTGATTCAGCAAGTATGGTGGGAATGGCATCGCTGCAAACACGAAACATAACACAGTACATGATTAGTGACATAGTACATGGGATGTGTGTGTGTGTGTGTGTGTGTGTGTGTGTGTGTGTGATGTGACTTGTTTATTGAATGCTGCTTATTAACTGGCCTGGTTTAGCTGCAGGGGTGTGAAGGGCTTCCCCTGAAGTCCACCGCTGCCGCAGCCATAAATCTTGTATTTCCTGTTCTGTTTTCTTAGCATATACGCATGTGTGTAAAAAAAAAAAAAAAAAAAAGAATCATTTATAATGTTCAGACCCAGCCAAAAAACGTGCAAACTCGTGTTGCAAAGAAAGAGACGAAGATGAAGATAATGGAGCAATCTGGACATAATGGGTCGGGGCATTTTTGGTCAAAATAGGAAGTTTAGTTTAAAAGTATGGTACGATTTTGTGGGATCTAGAACAGCAAATTATGCTTTATATTTATATTTCAGTGCTCTTGTCTAGAATGTCAGTCTCAGGAAAACAAAGTAATAAGTGGCAGATTTAGGGCGATTTCGCTGACTTTATAGCTAAACTAATTATATGTCATGTTCTACTCGTCTCTTTAAAATGAGGAGATGTGTGGGAAACTAGATGTACAATAGAGCCACATTTCCTCTGGTTAGCAGCAGCCCGTCTATTCTCAGTCAGCTGTTTGTTTTAGTTTGGTGGAGCAGTACTCACAGCCGTGTCAGAGAAACAGCGTGTCTGTATGGAGCGAAAATCTTTTCTTTGTTTTTCTTTGCTTTGCATTCAACTCTTTTTGGTCATCTATTTTTACCGCACATTTTAACAGGAGGGCGTTTTGCGTCAGCGCACAATGGTGACAGAAAGCCGGAGACGGGAACATTTCTAAATTTGTCGCTGTTCTAAGCTAATTTAGGAGAAAATACCCTCAGAAAGTGTAGCAATGAATGTATACGTGCGCAGCTGGCACCTATGGTGTCTTGCCTTTTAGCCATTATTCAATGTTTTTCCCTCATATTTAATTTGGCATATTAAAATGACCCAAAGCTCCAGAGTTCATAAATTAAAACTATATAAACTTTTATAGCGTTTATGTCCATCATCTTGATATCCTTTTTTTTTGCATGGACAGTGTTATTGGGCACATTTATTCTGTGTAAATCAAAGCAGTTAAACATGCTGACCACTAGATGGCAGCAGTGTTGCAGGATATATAGTAGATCCACAGCACAACATACTAGTTACAGACTTTTCATAAGGCCTAAGGTTTATTTTTCAGAGTTTTACTTTCCTATACACCATTGAAAACAGGAGTTTCTGAAAGGAAGTGATGAAATCAGGTATGCGAAGCACAACCACATCTGTCTAACATCTTGTCTTGTTCTCTCACTCCACCAGGCAGCCTATAACCTCGCAAATGTAGCCTGTAAATGTCACGGCGTCTCGGGTTCCTGCAGTCTGAAGACCTGTTGGCTCCAGCTGCCCGACTTTAGACGCGTTGGCGAGTTCCTGAAGGAGAAGTACGACAGTGCGGCTGCCATGCGCATTGGACGCAAGGTAATGAGCTCATAGCAGGAGCGTCTCTTTGGTGTCATGAGCAAAACAATAAACAGAATTGCACAAAAGAAATAATCCCAAATCCAATTCTTTCCACTTCTACCAGGGCAAGCTGGAGCTGGTCGACAAGCGCTTCAACACCCCGACCGCGGAGGATCTGGTCTACACTGACACCAGCCCCGACTACTGCCTCCGCAACGAGACCACGGGCTCGCTGGGCACGCAGGGCCGCCTCTGCAACAAAACCTCGGAGGGCATGGACGGCTGCGAGCTCATGTGCTGCGGCAGAGGATACGACCAGTTCAAGACCTACAAGCACGAGCGCTGCCACTGCAAGTTCCACTGGTGCTGCTACGTCAAGTGCAAGCGCTGCACGACGCTCGTGGACCAGTTTGTGTGTAAATAGCACGCTGGCAGATGATGGAACGGATGGAAGGGGATGGGGGGAAAAAAAGGAGGAGAGGGAGAGATGAAGAGGTGACGGGATGATGGAGGGTGAGGGGTAGATGAAATTTCAGGGTTTTGTTCAGGATAAGTTAAGACACACAACGTCCGTTTTCTGTCCAGTTTCCCTTCTCTCTTCCATTTATACATCGCTGCCTTTTGCATGTGAAGAGCAAAAGCTGCTTTACACCTGTGTGGCCCTTTTTATGTGTGTGTGTGTGTGTGTGTGTGTGTGAATAGCACAATGATGGTGATGATAGATGGGAAAGAGGACCAGACAGATGTGAAGATAGACAAAAGTAGGGAGCAAGGGAGGCATGTGATTTCTTCCATGTTTTTCGGACAACTCTGATATTTGTTCTTCAACGGATATTCCTGTTTCTCACCGCTCCAGCGTCACATTCTGCTTTCCTGTATGATATCCTGATCTCAACCCTGAAAGGAACGGCGTTCGGAAAGGAAGGAAGGACAAAACACAACGGATGCCCACAGAAGGACATCAAGGATAAATGGACCTAGCAAGTGGAATAACTGGATCCGAAAAAAGGGGGACACATATGACTAGTGTGATGACAGAAATATGAGAGATGAAATAAATATATAAATAAATAATAAATAAGCATACAACTCTGATTGTTATTTAAAGAGACTTAAACGAACCTAAGGCACACTTTGGACCCATAAAACTCATGTGTTCAGGAATCCCACCAATCAATACAGTCCTTTAGGACTTTGAGGACATGCGAGTGTCACCGTGTCTCTTTCAAAGAACTTTTGACCTTTTAACCCTGCAAGACAAATCCTTGCACACGTGAGCTGTGCCGACACTCGCAATAAGCACAGAGAACACCAGAAATGCGTAAAAGTCCACACTGAAGCAGGCGAACGAGAGCGAGGAATCAAGATATAGAAAGGGAATAGCGAAAAAGGGAAACGGTTCGAATATAATTGAGAGGGATTATCTTGCCACAAAGTTCAAGGGGACAGTTTCAGAAGCCACACCGATCAACTTCCAGCTACTTCTGTTCAATAACATAAAAAAACACTTAATCTTCAAGTCCAGACGGACTAACGACTTACAGGACACACTACAGTGTAACTACTGCTGTTGGAGCAGATTTCCAGCACCTGTGACCTGACAAGTGGGTCTGAGCAGGGTAATGAGGTTCGCCCGTTTCGGCCATCTTGGCACCACGTTCGTATTAACAAGCAGCTCACACGTCCTTCATCTGACAGTGAAGTGAGCGCAACCTCCATTAGTGAGATTAATGTGCTTCATCTGCCTTCATGAACCCGCACTACGAGACACGTTCACTGTGAGTGAACCTCTTCATCTCATGTTATGCAACTTGTTCAGTCAACAAAAAAAAGCCCTGTGGTGTCGTTTTTTTAAATTTTTGGCAGTTTGGCCACCAGGTTAACACGTTATAATGCTGGTATACCATGAATTTTGCAACTTGTATGGGAGGGGTTGAGAATACTTTGAAGTGTATAATGTAATGCAGTCAATAGAAGCAGTTGATAAGAAACACAAGGAGGACAAAGTGAACAGAAGAGGACTGAACATGCTGTGGAACAATGAATGTGTTAGCGTGGAAAAACAGAGAGGACTGCAATTTATTAAGTGCTACTGCGGAAAAAAAGTAGTAGATAAGAAAAGAAGGTATATTTTATTATTGTTTTTAATTTTCTGTTTTCTATGTTTTATTCATGCGTATTATTGTGTATTCTTTTGATAAACTAGTCTTCGACAACGAGGCTGCGTTCTGTTCTTGAGTGTGCTGCTTTTTGGAAACGTCTGATCCCGGCCAACAACTTGACAACTACAGACAAGTCTTTGTCATTTTCGAGGGTGTTGTGGAAAATGATGCCTGCCGTTGTAAAATGGGGAAGTGAGGCAGTACAGGGAACTGCATTACAGCAGTGCCATTCACAACAATGCCAACATTGAATAACAAATCCACACTTAATAGAAAGTGATGCAGAATTGGCTTTTACAATCAACTGAGTTTAGTTAATGTTTTTTTATAATTTCATCGTTTCAAAACATGAAATTACAGCAAGTAGCGAGGAATACACGACACTACCACCACAACGTAGCAGTTATGAGATTCATGTTTTAGATATGAACACTGTGAAGCTGAAACTTTTCCCTCAAGTCAGCAGAAATGTTTTGTGTCGTTTGTTGATGTGACAAGGCCTCTGAATAACCTCGTCAGCTCAACACTATGTGTATCCAACTATCCGCTGAAAACTACGAGAACGTTGAGGAACACGGTAATATATTTGATGTGGCTCAAATTCCTGTATGCTGGAGGAAAATAGATAATTTGTCCGATCTTCTCAATGTTTTCGCATAAATAATGTTTCTGTAATGTATCAAATACAATCAAATAATCAAAAAATAGGAAATTGTTCAAACCTTTTACATATTCCTAGTTCAAGATTCATTTTTAGTTTCAGTTCCTCATACCTGCTCACAATTAGCATTTACATTTACAGTAAAAAAAATCCCCTATGAATCCATCCTTATTGATCATATCAGTATTACAGTCCGACTGTGTTTATCTTTAATACTACATCACATTGTGTTTATATGTATGTATTGTTTTCTCACATAAAAAAGTAAAATATGTACGTTCTTAAAGTTGTTCGCCGTCTTCTTGCACTAAAGGATGTGACTTATTATGGCATTCCTGCTTATTCTTCATTTTCTCACGCCTCTTTGGGACCTTTGACCCCATCAGACAAACACCTTGTCCACTCATTGAGTCCTAATCTGCTCCATGGATGCCGGGTTGCTTTTAACTCCCTGTGTACATTTGTTTTGTCCATATTTTTAGACTCTCTTGCGGTTACTTTATGGCACAAGCCGCGTGACTTCAGCTCTTCTCTATAACACATATATATACACAATGCTCCTGCAGCTTTGCTTTACCTTCAACAACTTTTAGCACTGAAAGTCAAGCGCACATTCATTGTTAAGTAGATAACCCATCTAATGATCCCATTACCTTTAGCCGCTCACAGTTGATTGGATTAGACCACCGACCAGTAGTATTGTCTCTGTCTGTGTAATCCTCCTCACCTGAGAGAGGACAGTGTCAAGACAGCCCAAACTGCTGTTGCTGATTCCTACAAAGACTTGTATGTAATGTAATGTATGCAGTGTATTAATCGTACATTGATGGTTTATGCATGTGTCTGATACTGTTGTGAAGTGTGTCTGTTTACCGTATGTGTGTGTGTGATTGCTGAAGATCAGACAAGTGAAAGTGTAACCTGCTGTTGTCTAATCCTTTTCGCCTGACAGCCATCTGCTACTGTGACTCTGCTAATTTCATTGTGCTCGTCGTCTCTGAAACAAACAAACAAAAAGTCAGGTTGTCTTTCTTTCATTAGGCCTTTTGTTGCTCTGAGGTTATACTTTATTATGCTAGTTTTTAAATCTGTGCTTCTACAGAGGGAAGAGTGTGGCTGCGGTAGCCGACTGCTGTTGTGCAGGAAAGTTGGCTCTAACATCGGGGATTTTTGCTGACTTCACCATCAGTCTGTCTGCAGCTTTAGTGCCTTAAGTCAATCTTGTATACAAGTTCCCTAAGGGGGCACTTATTAAAAAGAAAAAAGGATGTTTCAGTCACCACTATACCTTGGAGTTTGACTTATGTCTCCTCAGGTGTTGAGTGATCTGGAGCTTGTCCTGCAGGTTAGACCTCATTAAAAACATTCCCCTTATCTTTCTCTATGCAGCTTTGACTCTGCTCCCAGCTAAGCAGCAGAGTGGGATGAGACATGTCGCCGCGGGTCTCTCTAAAAGGCCAAAAAGCGTCTCTGCACATCTGCATGCAAACTAGCCCGGAATATTTGTACAGTGTCTCAGGATGAGTCCTGATCCGACCCTCTGGTTCTTACCTGCGGGACATTTTAGTGTTTGACTGCCAGCTGTCTAATTATAAAGTCAAACCTGCTCAGTGGCATGAATTGCTCTTTTTGCAGTTGAACTATGTACATTTCTGCAAGACTGCCTCATACAATTTACCTTCACATCTGTTCTCATTTCTGTGGAGTTTTTGGCATTGAGCAATGTGCGATAATTCCTCCACAACCTGTTCTCCCATATGTTGGAGCAGGAGAGGAGCTCTGGTTTCTGCTCCTCCTGTGTCCAGCAGGGGGACACCACAACATTAAAATAGACAAATGTCAAGAAGCCAAGATCAGTTATATCAAGTATTTTGTTTCCTATAAGAAGTCAGTTCGTATAAAAATACATAAGGATGTCGTTGGGATACAGCTGTATTTTTGATACTACACTGTACCATATTTCACAATGCTGTGTCATAAGAATCCAAGCTCTTTTTTAACATTTTTCCTAGCTGTAGCTTCACATAACGCCAGAGGCAAACTGTACAATGGCATCTTGCATGCGATGTTTGTGTAGGTGTGTGTGCGTGTATTTGTGTAGGTGTGTGTGTGTGTGTGTGTGGATTAACCAGCAGCTGTTGTAGTAAAAACATCCTTAGGCGAGCTCTCTGCTCCAGCCACATGGACCGCCTAATCCTGGGAAACCAGAATATATAATCTCCCCGAATGGTGCTGTATAAATCCAGTAAATGTATTGCAAGTTGCAATTGTAATTCTCACCTCAGCGCTACTTTATTCACCCTAATTAATTTCTTGTACATTTTATTAACGCCCTCTATTATCGAGAGATCACACAACTAGTTATAATTCATCACACAAAGCTGCACAGAGCAGCTCAATGAATGTAACATTCATGTCCATCACAGGTTCCTGATGCAGTTGGTGTAAAGTGGACACACCCGAAAACCACACACACACACAAGCCACAGACCAGACAAGGGGAACACAACATTTACATAAAGGCCAGCATGCAAATCACTAAACAATGATGCAACACAGACTATTGCTGCGGGATCACATGAGACTTAAACCACAGACATTTTCAAAATAGCTACATTTGTAGGGGTTTTTCATTCATTAATGTTTTTGGTCAATACCTAAAGCTTGTTAAAGGCTTCAGTTATTTCTCTCAACAATGATGCAGTCTGTTGCTGTCAACCAAACTGAATGTAAATACGGGTTGCTTTTCTTTGCTCACGCAAACAGCAAATTGAAATTGTTAACCATCATCGCCTGCAAATTAAATCTACCACTTCCAGAGCAGTGGCCGTGAAAAGATTATTAAAACTAACAGTGACACCAGAAGGTATGCAAAGACTCACTCCAGGCTTCGTAAAAAGAATAGTTTCTGAACCATCACACCCAGCAGGTGAAGACATGACATGGAGTCGTCACTGAACACCAGTGAATTAAAATAATACTTCAATGGTTTTTAACATTTAATGGGTAGAATTTACATGTACTGCATTATTAATTTTAGCAACTAAGATATCATAAACAACAACATTTACAATGTGTTCATCTCGGTGTGACAACTCTGATAAAAATTTTCCATGACCTGTGAATGAGATAATGAGGTAGGTGTGGACCTGTTCCCATCATGTAGTCTTCTCTTCTGTCACATCCTGTTTGTGTGAGTGTGTGTGTGTGTGTGTGTTCGTTTAGGGCGTTGATATGTGGGATCATGTGTGTTACAATCGGGCTTGTCTTGCCACGGACGTCATCACTGTAGCTCCTTAGCTTCCCCAGCGTTTACGGAAGATGCATGGGGAAATTTGTTTTGTGCGCGTGAAGACAGACAGTTCCTCATTGCATTAAAATCTTCATAGCAATCATACATTTGTAATTTATCGAACATTTTAGACTGACTTAAAATTAAATACACCAAACACAGACACACCTAATTGCAGGTGTGGTCTACCTGTTTTGACTGTTCCCAGCAAGACACCAGCCTCTTTAACACACACCACGTATACACATCACTGCCAGCAAATGGAAAGGGTAATCGGAAGGAAATTATTTATATTGACCTGGAGAAGAATTAAGTGACCTATAATCTTTATTTTTTTTAACTGTAGACTGTGTACATGCAGTTTGTATGGACTTTCAAGTCATTTTAAATACTTGTGGATGTCTTTTTCAGTCCTCTTTGCGTTTGTACTAGACATTAGATATTGTGTCCACTGTACATGGGGGCAATAGAAATAGATGAAAGCAACACACACTGAACAAGACACATTGAAAGGTGTTAATTTAATCTTTAACATTACTTTAACCAAACCCAACTACATTTTAAGTAATCCACAAAGTTGTAAGTCGGATTTGTTGCTCCGGTTGGTACAGCAGCTGCTTATCTAAATGATCACATTACCTTTGGAAGGGCTTGCACATAGTATGCCCACATACATGCAGATAGAGCAACAAAGAAACATTTAAATATTGGATTAGCAGTGAGAACATGGTGCAATCAGAAATCAAGGTTATGCAAACACCCTGCCAATTGCAGTACATGTCGTTCACCGTGGGGCCGTAGAGCTGAAGGTCTCCCTTTAGTAACCAGCAGTTCCATATGTTTAGAGACACACCAGAAGGCTGATTTATGATTGAGAATTAGCAATCACCATAACACAGAATGATCCAGAGAACAACCCCTACAAGTCTCAAACCCTACACTTTCACATTAAAAGCACATAAAATACAGAAAATGTGTTTTATAAATGGATGATGCAGTTTGATTACATTATTTAATTCTGAGAAAATCACAATCACAATGATGCTGAGATTTCTTTTCCTTCTCTGATATCTGGCCAACCAGTCATTCTGCTGTTATGTTATCTATTGTTCCCAGAAGAAAGAAGGATAACTGAGACAAATTCCTAGAACAGACAGTATGCAAGGCCCCATCCATTATTCACAAGCATTTTATCCTGTGACTTCAGAGAAACAACTGTTGAACAACAGCATCAGGACTAAGCCAGGTACAATCACATCAGATTATACGCTTTAGCACATTACTCTAAAAGCATATTAGATATATTGTAGAAAAAAAAATCAATGATTTGAACCTTCAGGGTGAACAAACTCCATGCCGGCCAGTTCAACCGATGAGCTGAAAAAAGCTTTGGCTTCGCCAATGAAACCGTGTGTTGGGTGAAGGGCGAGATATGATGAAATCATTTTCAAATATTTTTAAGTTGTGTGAGATGCTGTCAGGAATAGAAACAAATACTGTGAATCTCTTGTAAATGTGTAGGCTGAGCAGGGCAGTCCCAGCCGGTTTCTGTCTTTATCTGATCAGATTTATATAACTATATCTTGTTTTCAGAGTTCTCTCCATAAATTAGATAGAGTACAGTTAAACAAACACATTAACTTTTTAGTTCAAAGGAAAGAAAACTTTACTCTCATCATAAATGATTCTTATCCATCAGATATGCTGATACGATAAACTTCATGCCCCAGCAGAACTCAACAATAATCCGGTCAAAGTCACACACTATCTTACCAGAGATATACAACTACCTGCATTGGTGGAGCAAGACTTTCAAGATTTTCAGTCACCTCTTCCTAATGATATTTCTGAGGCCTCTCCTCCCCTGAAAAACTTGTTGAACTTGTTTAGTGGTGAGATTGTCAACATGATGAACCAGACCGATGATACTGTCCTGAACTGAAATGAGGCAGGGAGTGTAGCAACACACCCTGCCAGAGCTTTGCATCACAATAAAGCCATTTGCACAATCATACCATCAGAGTTAACCATAATAGCAACGCAGCAGGGTGTTGGTATATGTATGTGTGTGTGTGTGTGTGTGTGTGTGTGTGTGTGTGTGTTTAGGCAGAGTACATCCTTGGATATGTAAACCCCAGGCCTGGGGAGCAGAGAGGGCATAGAGCAGCTGATCCAATGGTGGTGTCATTTATATCACAGTGCAAACTCCCATCACAGATATGGTAGAGTTCAACTGTCACACCACATACACGTGTTTTATTTGTGTAGCTGCTCATGTGGTGAGGATCAATGACCTGTCTGCAAGAATTACTAAAGAACGTTACTAAAAATTATTATTATTACAATCATCAACAATTTTGTTAATGAATTAATCATTTAAGTCGTGTATAAACAAGTATTTGTTCATTTCAGCTTCTTAAATGTCAGGACTTGCTGTTTTTCTTTGTTTTTTATCATTATAAATTGATTATTTCTTTGTTTTGGACTATCAGACGAAACAAGCAATTTCAAGACATCACATTTTTTTTACCCCTTACATTTTTAAGACTAAATAACGTAATCATCACATAGGCTACACAGTGCTGTATACACATATTTCACCTACAATTCTTAAGCGGCATAGATACTCTAGGCATTCGTTGGCTGACCCAACATTATTGAAAGTTTCCATATGGCATTTGCAAAAAGTTTCTTACAGAAAGACCGCTGGCAACGCAACTAAAACACCATTGATATAATATTCAGAGTGGCACTGCACACATCATATTTCATAACCTCTCTCATATATTTGTTTAATCTTAGAAATGTTCCTATATCCACACGTTTTACACACTTATCTATCATGTTATTTCACACGTCGTTAGAAACTACAAACAACGTTGCTCAATTTCTGGACCGTCTCTTCCTGTTCCTGGTCGTTAGTGATTGGTCGTTGGTTATCGTCGAGTGATCTGATTGGATGACTGTCCCTCATGCGAGTAGCGTCACGCGGTGATTACCTCCCTCCGACGTCGCTGAGTGCAGTTTGGTCTAGCGTCTAGTCAGAAAGCGTTCAGAGTACACAAGAGCAGAGCAGCGACTACAACTCTTCTAACTGCGTGACATTACGCAGAGGACGCGTTCATCTCCACACACCAGGACCAGGTGAATATCACAGCTGACATTGTCCGCTACTGGTTGTTGTAATTGGTTTGTATTTTGTTTCACCCTGTACTTTCCCTGCGTAACGTCAGCGCCTCTCTGGCTGTGCAACCTGCCAGCTAGCAGCTTTGCTATCCAGCTAATTCTGGCTGTCAAAACAACACAGAGAGGCATAATCTGCTAGCCAGCGAGAACAGACTGCTTTGCTCTCTCTCTCTCTACGAGGCGTTATCACTCGCACGGAGGCAGTTTTTTTGGTGCATTCACAGGCGAATAGGTCGATGTGGTGAGCTGTCAAAATACACACAAGCTCTGTTAAATAGTTATGTGGCTTCTTTGGGATGTCGCAGCTTTTGTTAGCGGACTAGCCAGCTCGCTAGCTCGGTGTAAACAAACCATCATCGCAGCCTGTCGACGGGCTGCAGTCCGTGTCTAGCTTTACCGTTGACGACACAGCTTGGGTGACATGTAAGGTGAAATGTTTCAGGCCGAACATGTAAAACCGCTTCTTGTATATGCATGTTGATAGTGTGACATGTCGACAGGGAGGTGGTCTGACTGGAGCTTTGGGTTTTCTTTGTCCTGCTTGCTCGCCGCTGGTTTGACTCTGTAGTGTCACTTTGTGTGTGTGTGTGTGTGTGTGTGTGTGTGTGTGTGTGTGTGTGTGTGAGTTGAGAGCATTGGTTGTATGTCTCAAGTTGCTGCTGTTTTATTAAACGCATTTGTTTTTAAATGTCAGTGGTTGAGAGCGAATGTATTATTTTATGAGCAACATGCTGCAAGTCGCTGCTGGATATGGTTTTAATACATACGTCATACAGTAAACTGCAGTGTTTTTTTATTGTTGTGTCTTGTTGCTCCGAGCAGAAGCTAACATTTTCCTTAATAACCAGCCAATATTCACTATTTTATCCTATAATTATGATGCCTTTTTTTAATATTGCAAAACTCAGCAAGTCAAGTCAAGTCATAGTGTTTGATTCTCTTGTTCTGCGGCTTAATTAACATTTATGTGTAATTGTACTGACTGCACATGCAGTATTGCATGTGTGCCCATCCCATTTCAGTGTTCCTCTGCCTCAAAGCATGAGGTCATCTCATATATATTTCAGGCGCTGGGTAGCTGATAGCCTATTTGTCTTGAACCCAAACTTTATATGTACAAAACAACACTCCCAGCCGTCCCCCTGGCTGGAGATTAGCGCATGGATATTTCATGGAGCAGCGTCTTATCTGGTGATTTGTGCTGAAACGCATTTTGCATTTTTAATCAGTGGCTTCTTGTGCAGTTTGACCCGTTGGGGTTTCACATTGTCATTATGTCCCGGGGCGTTTGCTCCTCTGCAACTTACTCAACAGCACTGGACACACTTATAATACCACCCATCCCTGCTGTTATACTCAATTTGCACTTGTGCGTGTCAATGTACTTCCGTGTGCATTGAAAGAACCCACACAGGGATGCAAAGCAGATCCATGCTGCATCATTTACATGTATAGCAACTGCGTCCCTTCACATTCGTCAGGAAATTTGCTGTAACTTCCTGTTGGAAGATATTGATATACAATTATACGAATAATTAATTCAGAGTTTTCATTGCCCCGAGCTGATGTGTGAGCCGACCCCGCTAGACATGGCTATTCAGAAATACGTCATGTTTTTTTTTAACTGGAAATACAACTCTCAAGAGAATTTAATGTATAATGAAGTCAGTCTTTTGACAGCGTGCCAGCCAGAAGAGCAGCTAAACATAGCGTCTAAGAATAGTAGAGAGCTGTCAGTGCAAAATTGATTGATCATAAGACAGAGTTTCTGCCTCTCTCTCTGTCTTTTATATTGCTCCTCTTGTCTCGGCCGGAGAGCTTTCTTTGTTTCCCTCGCAACTCAAAACAGGGCTGTGTGTGGTGCACAAAAACTAAAAAAAATGCGCTTTTCTCTTGTGGTTTGTTGTTATGTTGTTGCCTAAGTAAAAATGTACATACACGATTACACACAGGCAAATAAGACTGTCACTGGTGTAAATATTTGCTTGTAAACGTGGCAGTTATCTGATTAAAATGAGTCGGCGAACAAAATGTTCTATGCTCTTGACCCCTCTCTGTTGTCCTCAGCCTTTATTTAGACAGAAGGCATCGGTATCTAAGTATAGTCGGTAGCTTAAAGTTCCCCTTTCATCTGATCATTTAGAGGACCTATTTTTATCTTTATGTGACCCACCTTTGGATTACCACCCAGGGCTTGAAAATCACTGCATTTGATTGCACAGTGTTCAGCAGCAGAGCCAACAGCGCGCTGACCTTGTTGTGGTCTGTGTTCAGATGGGTTGGTGGTTCAGTACCATTTAAAGACAAAGGGCAGACAGAGTCTTTGCATGTTGTTTTGGTGGTAACTCGGACAGGACTGAACCAGCTTTCGGGTGAGCCTCAGCATTGTTACACCTGTTCAGAGATTCACTGCTTTAGTTATGTGGGGTTCGTTCAGAAAGACATTGACACACGCTACTGTATATCTCAGATTACGCTTTCAGCCCAAACTGCAGTTGCGAGTTGATAACTTGGTAAAACTAACAGGCATGGATGTTACGTGGATGCCAGCCTGTGTGTAATCTGTAATGGTTTTCTCTTGTCTTCTGATGAAATTAGGAATGTCTTGTTGTGGGTACATGTAGTTTTAGCCTTTTTAAATACCATACTTACAGGATATTAATGGAATAGGTATTTAAAATAATCAAATAATTCCCACCTTCCACCATATCTGTCGAGCATGTACTTGTGCATGTACTTGTGCATGTACTTGTGCATGTGCTTGTGCATGTGCTTGTGCATGTGCTTGTGCATGTGCTTGTGCATGTACTTGTGCATGTGCTTGTGCATGTACTTGTGCATGTACTTGTGCTTGTGCTTGTGCTTGTGCATGTACTTGTGCTTGTGCATGTGCTTGTGCATGTGCTTGTGCATGTGCTTGTGCATGTGCTTGTGCATGTACTTGTGCATGTAGTATCTTTGCGATGTGGCTGGATGTTGTGTACACCGTGAATGAGAGAACAATGGTGTGTATGCGCGTGGTTCACTTCACACTGGTTCTCTTTGTTTATCTCTCCATCATAAGACATGCTGGCATCAGTAACTCACTCACTGTTGTACCAGGATTAAGAAGTAACCGGACACACGCACTTAAACAGACAACCCAGATATGAGTTGTTATTGTTGTGAAATATAGATGCAGTACGACTATTTTCTTGATATTATTACTTTATTTTAATACTGTCATTTTGTTAATGTGGGTTAAAAAGGCAACTGGGATCATTTTTTTGACAAAACATGCTAAACTGTCCTGACGTCTCCGTCATTTTTCATTTTCTTATTACAGGTGTGTTTTTACTGATATCATGGTGGGGTGGGTGTGTATGTTACAGTGCAGGTCTCGGTGTGATTAGGTTGTCCTATAGTGAACAGTATCAGCAGTCACATAATCTCCAACAGCAGGTTTAAATCATTGTAAATCTGCCCCCAAATACAAAGGGAGGCCTATTCCCCACCATAGGAACACACACAGCACAAAGCACCGTAAGTCAACTGCACCACCGAATGATTTGAGTTTGACTCTAGAGTGACGAATACAATTTTGGGGGAAATAAAATGGGATTCCCAACCCTGCAAAACAGCCAATAGATAGAAACCTTTTCTTTCTACCGTAGTAAGCCAGATCGTGAAAGCAGAGACAGACATGACAGCCGGTCAGCAGCCATGTGCAACTTCAGAGTGTTTATTAAAGGGCAAGGTGCGAAATGTGCTGTCACGAGACGTCATCTTATGTGATATGTTTGTGGCTTTTGGACCGACGTTAACAGTAAAAACGATACTGCTCCCTGTCTAAGCTCTAAGCGTCTGTGTAACTAATGCTCAGCTGATTTCACAGTGAAAATTAAGTAAATATGTTCGATGCCAGCGTAAGCCTCGATGCTGACTGCGTGGTTGTGAAACTCTTGCAAGTGTGATGGGTAAATAAAAGATGGGGATCAGTGTAAACCAATTTGGACTGATTTTAAACAGATAGGCCTTTGTGTCCTGTTTTAACATGCTCCTGTTAACTGTCGCTGGCCTCTGTCGAACCTGAAAAACCAGGTGGGATGTCATGGAAAAGCTCACCGTCACGCCGAAGTACGTAGGGTACAATCGCTCTGACTGAAAATGTAACCATATGTAATGCAAACGCTCTCTCTGTGTGTGTCAGAAAAATGGTGATCAGATAGAGATCACCATTTCACAGCAGGGGCCACAGACCATATCTGACGGAGTGACTCAGGGAGTGAGGCAAGGCATGTTGCTCGACAGCCATTCACACGTTTAGTACAGTGCAAACGTTCACAGGCGTGACAGATGGGTCCGCAGTATGAGAACCAGAAAACGGGTCCGTCTTTGTTTTCACTCCACCTCTTCTAACAGAAGAACAAATCAAGTGTCATTGACGTTTCCTATTTTCTTTCTCTCCTCGGTCTCTCTTTCCCTTTTCATCCGAGTTCCTCTTGTGTTTGTCTGTCGGTTGCCAGGATTGATTTTTTTATTTATTTTTTTTGTTAGCCACCGATTCACGGCTCTACAGTGACAATGACTGACTCCACACTGCTTTGGAGTGAAGTCTTGTGTGTTTGAGAGAGAGAGAGAGAGGACATTGAGCGAGGACATTGAGCGAGGACATTGAGCCGGAAGAAATGCTGCAGCACATTGCTCATGTCATGTCTGTGGAATGATGCGCTTGAATAAATGACTGTGTGTGTAATGCTAATTACACACTGTTAGCATGCTAATTTTAGCAATAAGGCTATTAAAGGACAATCATCTCAGAGTCACTTCAGAGCTGCTTCATGATGTCCAGAGAATAAAATATTGAAAATGAAAAAGAGGAATATATCGCTGACAGCACACAACCTTGATTGCCTGGTCTTTGTTATTTATCTGGGGAGAGGTTGAGAAACAATGGCTACGGTGCAGTTTCATTGGCCAAGAAAGGGAAGTGTTGCTCGATGGCACATCAGTAGAGATGTTGAGTTTTGGTGGATCCCTTTCTTGACCCAGCAGGTCACGAGCCTGATCCTTCCCCCCCCCCCCCCAGTCACTTCATGTCCCGGGGTTAAAGAGTCACTGTGGGACAGATGCTAAACCTGTCTGCGTGATTGGTTTGCTTTACGGAGGTTGAGTGTGGAGAAAAATAATTGAACCTCATACAGCGACTTTAATAGAGTAAAATAAACAAGGGCGTACATACGACATCCACGAGGCTTTTATGAGCCAAGAAAATTGTGATCATGGAGCTACACCGCACGCAACATCTTGATGAGTCATTTAGCATCCTGTTGTCGACAGACATTCGGTGTGTCGCAGTTCTCTCAGAACAGAAAATTCTACATTTGAGGTTGGTTCAGACCCTGGGAAGCCCTGTTTGGTGTGGGAGATGTGAATCCGTCTTTTGGTATATTATGTTCCATCATGTTGAGTCCTTTTTTATCTCAATATGGGGTCAGTCTGCTCCGCTCTGTCTGTCCTGCTACTGAGGAGTTGGTTTTTAAAGGCAGTGCCAACGAGTGTGTGTGTGCTTGTGTGTTTTATTGTTTTTACCCCTGACTGTAGAAGAGTACTGACAATCAAGCAGCTATTGTTGGAAGGAGACGGAACGATTCCTTTCCAGTGAACTTTGTTATAATTCCCTCACCACGTGTTTGTCTATCCGGCCTCCATCAGGGTGGTGCCGGAGCTTGTGTGTGTGTGTGCATGTGCGTGTGCGTGTGTGTGTGTGTGTGTGTGGCCGTCGACTCAAGTCTCTTTAATGTTGTTTTCTTCTTCTTCCACTGCTTCCAGACTCTTATCAGACCCGCACAGAACAAAATCGTGAGAATCGACTACAGCTGCAGGAAAAAACAAAAAATAGATCAAAAGTACTTTATTCCTCTTATTCCCTAGTTAACAGGGAGCCAGCGTGAAATCTCACTTCTCATCATGACAGAGAATCACGGTGCAGTTACTCAAAAAGCGTGTCGATGTAATTTTCCGAAATAGTCGATTGGGGACAAAGAGGACGGAGGACAAGTGAAGCGATTGATTGGACGGTCTCTGAGTGTAGAAGTGTTTGATTTTGATTATTAGGGAGCTCGCCCACAGGCCAGCCGTCTCACTTCAGCTCAAAGAGTCTTCTTATTCACAATAGTTTATCATATCTGTCGGTCGATGGCGTTGTGAAACTTTCTACATTTTTCCTGTGGCTCTTTTAATGATTTTTGTCTTTTTCCGTTGTGTACCATTGTCTCTTTGACTCTTCAGCCTTCTCCTTTTTTTTAGCGTGACAATGTTCTTTCACAACCGCGAGCTGTGGTTTGTTGTTTCTTCTCTAGAATAATCATCACACACACACCTGTTCTATATGTAAAAAAAACCATTGTTGTAGTATCTGTAAGTGTTTTTTTATTTAAGGGTTTTTTCACTAATATTCAGAAACAGGTGCAGAGTAGCGTGTGAAGAAGGTAACTTTCTGTTGCCTTCAACGCGCTCATGTGTGAGCTTGTTACCTCGTTCTTGACTGCAGCTCTTTTGCTCCCTACATGCTTAGATCAGCCTTTTTATGAATTATGTTTTTAACACTCCGTCTGTGTATGTTTACACAGTGCATGCACAGGTGTGTGTACATGCCTTTTTGTGTTGTTGTTGTCCCCCTGCCCCCCCCCTTGAGTGTGAGTATAATCCCCTAATGTATGTTTGTGGCTGCACTGGGATGGTTTAAATGAAGTGGTCTGGTGCTCGGGGGCTTGTTCACATTGACTTGGCTCCTCTGGAGAGCTGTGTGTGTGTGTGTTGTGTTGTGTGTGTGTGTGTGTGTGACAGAGAAAAACAGATCTCAGCAGAGTAAGGCATGCTGACATAAATGTGCAGCTACAGTTTTCATCATTTACGGTACATTGAAGCTTCGGCCGTGCTACTGAGCGAGTGTTTGGAAACACACTGCAGTACAAACATGCAGATATTAATGGGTCTAGGTCAGGTGACCATGAGCTTATTTATCTGCACGAAGGCCAAATGTCTTCAAAATGATTGAAAAAATAAACCTTAAAAAAACAAGGACTTTTTAGAAGGCTAGATTTAAAAAGGATTCATGTTAAAGTAGCTTCGTAGCAGACAAACTGTGAGGTGTTGAGAGAGCGATGAAGTAAAGAGGGATCTTAAGTTCTCAACACGTCTACTTCCTGCGTGTGGATCTCTTGTTCCAAGTTGGTACCCACCGGTACCCAATTGGCCGCCGGTGTTAGTCGCCCCAGTATTTTAAGGCCTTGATGCCACGGCTTTATTAATTGACATAAATAAACCAACATCGTCTTTATCTCTGATGCAGACGAACTTGTGACCTGTTCGATTATGCCTCCACCATCATAGTTTATGTCCGGGCACTCACGCCCAAATAAAAGACTACCTAAATTTGAGGATTAACAAAATCATGGAGATTGATTTATTTTTCCTTTTCTCTTCCTTCTCTTTTCTGCCACACAGTCCAAAAAGATCCAAAGGCTTCAAGTTTGGTCTCATCTGGATTTTGTCATCATCGTCCATTAAGTCTTCTCTCCGTGGAGGCCGGTCCAGCGTTTCAAGCTGGACGGAGGAGAGACGAGCGGGGCCAAGGGCCCCGCCGAGGGCCCGGCTTTCGTGCTGCGACACAGAACTTCAAACCTCGTTGAACATGCGACGGATAGCACGCCTACAGAGCCCATGAGTCCCCGGGAGAAAGCCGACACGCCCACCTCAGGTTCTCCAACCAGTCACCTCAACACCGCAGAGTGCAACTCCCACAATGGGGTGAGTATCCAACACACACACACGCACACATGCTGTCATCCGGTTGGTCGGGGCCATCGGGTGCGGTATGGGTCGGCTAGTCACACAGTAAAACTATCCTACCAAAACACACACCCTCGCATAACTAATTAAGTAGGTGCTGTTAGCTGGGAAGTATATTGTTTCATGACAGATGCTGACCGGCGAAATCTTTCATCATAATAACAGAAGCATAAACGTAAACTATGTTCTTTCCCATGTGAAGAGTCACTTAAACTGAGCTTTTTGGACAACATGTGAGACTTTGGTGGGTGAATTATCATCAGAGCATTGAGAAATAAATTCATACAAGTATGTGAAACAGTGCAGGTAGTTGTGTACACAATGTCAGAGACAAGCCACTCATGACTGGACTGAAAACAGGCACGCAGACTTGTGATCTTGATTAAATGAAAGTACACTCAGGGAAACGAGCACATTTGTGCAGATAAAAGTTAAAAACAAACACAAACCTTGAATGCACTACAACTGTCAGCGGGCACCGCGACCAGCGCAGTAGGGTGTTTAGCGCCTTGCTCAGGGGCACGGCAGAAATGGTTACTGAGGGAGAATATGTAATTGGTTTCTCAGGTTTTACCAGCAGGTTATTGGAACTTGATTTTTGCTCAAATTGATCATGAGCTTGTTTCCCAGCCTTTTCAACCTCCAACAACCTCACCGCCTTCAAGGCTTTTCAAACTCAGCGAGAGTCATTCTGTGCTATAGTAATTAACAGTGTAATTATGATTGGGTTGGCTCAGCTTCGCCTGATGTTTGGTTTTAGTTCCACTCGAAGTTTAAAGTGATGTGGATACGGAACGTGTCCAAGATTCACTGCCACTAAAAATAAGCCTGTTGTGTCTCTGTACCGACGTCTTCCTGGAAGGAAAACAAACACGTTACCAAAATATCTGTGTGATCAGCATCCCAAGAAGGCAACGTATCGCTCCGATCAAACAAATGTGCCAGACGCTCTCCCTCAGGTGTGTGTGTGTGTGTGTGTGTGTGTGTGTGTGTGTGTGTGTGTGTGTGTGTGTGTGTGGTGTGTGGTGTGTGTGGTGTCTGGTGTCTGGTGTCTGGTGTTTGGTCGCATGCTCTCTTTTTTTTTTTTTTTTTTTTTTTTTTACCTGCTGTAACACGACTGACACCTGAGAGGACGCTTGGGCCTCTTTGCCCTAATCAGCGAGGGCAGGCTGTCTTTACACCTCGCAGGCTGCTCTGTGAATCTTTGGGTATTTTTGGGGTAGGTGCTAGTGTTGCGTCTCGAAATGCGTTTGTGAGCGTGCGGTACAGCTTCAGGCTCGGTATCACACTTACTGTTTTGCAAAAAAAAAAATAAGAAACAGTGAGGCGTCTCATCTGAAAAAGCTACAGGGACGATGTCTTTTTTCAAGTTAAAGTAAGTTTCCTGTTTTGCAGACCTTTCTGAACTTTTCCCTGTATGATTGTGGTGTTTGCGTGTCTTCCTACGGTTGCAGAATGGAATTTCCAAACAATAGCGGTTTACCTGCCAACAATCTCGGCCTATTAGTAAGAAATGTTTGATATGGGAATTTGGTTGTCAGACGTGTTTCAAGCAGGCCGTTACACTTGAAGCGCATCATAACGATGCCTCTAAAAGTAACCATCTAAAACACTATAGTGTTCAGTTTGTATCTTCAGTGGGGATCTATAAGTGCCGTTAAAGTCATTAAAGTTCAATCGACTGTCTTTTACGGATTGTTTAATTCAATTTAGGTTTTTAAGACTTGGAAAGATTGTTGATGGCGTGAGCTTTAGGCGAGTCAGCTTCAATGCAATGTTTGTGCTCGTACAACTAATGAAAATTAGATTTTCGGGAGAGTGGTGAAAAGCTCCTGCGGAGTTCTACAGATAGTCAAAGAACTAAATAAAGTCAGATGATGTAATGCTGTCCCTTCTGGAGGAGAGACTACTGTGTTACAGAGACAACAGATGCTTCTCTGTGAACATGCACCACAGACCGTGAAACAAGCTCAACACACATAGTGTAAAATCCTGTGACCCCCACATACACACACACACACACACACACACACACACACACACACACACAATAAAACAAGGGAAATACCAATAAACCGTGAATAAATACCAGCAAACAATGCTTGAGATTTGCACCTTTGAGTCCTCTCAACATCCTCTCTTTGTGCCGAAGGTTTGTCTTTATTGCTTTCATGCATAGCGCCCAGCCTCCGGTGGATCAGACGTCTTGTTTAACTTCCTCCTCAGTTCATTTAAGGTCATTCTAGCTTTCTTGTTATCAAAATGCACTAAACCCTCGGACGTTGTCGGGGCGAAAACATCTTCTAATGCTGACATGCTGCGACAGAGCAAAGGAGAATGTTCATTATATTTTCAATAACAAAAAGGAAATCGACTATTGCCATTGTTTTTGAGGAATGAACTGAAATGAACTTAAACATGAGAGTGGCATCAATCCTTTCGTTTCATTTAAGAAAGGGAATAACGCAAGAAAAACAAACCAACACCTTTCTGAAGTGGCTTTAAAAAAATGAATATCCTTGATTTCAAACCCTCCAACAGTTATAAATCTGTTTTATTAGCCTGCTAATGCCGATTCTTCATGCCCTCCTCATGGTCACGGGCAAGAACGGAGAGAACAGTTTGTCTTGTGGCAGCCTGAGCGCGCTCTCTGTTTTATTTTAGAGTCGGACACGTGTGCGTGTTTTGGAACATACTGTCTGTTTTTGAGGGTGGTGGCGTCTTTCTCCAAATTCTTACAATCCCGAGAGAGTGTCGCGCATGAGTCACATGTCGAATCTCTCCATCTGTGCTGTGCAGGGGTTTCTGTGTACAGGGGTGAGCTCTTCACTCTCTGGTCCGTTATTAGTTCTGCTGTCATTGGTCCACAGAGTTTCAGCTGGATTCTGGTTGGCCGGCAGCCGTTTCCTGGATCCCTCCCTCCACCAAACTGCCAGCTAAAGTTCCATGTTTCGTTGGAAGATTTTTCCTCGAATGTCTTCCCCTTCCTTGTTTCCGTAAACTTATCTTCCACTAACTGACTGTAGAGCTCAACACACACACACATGCAGAGTAGTTCAGGTGTGTGTGTGCAGTAGTCATTAGCCAGGTCTGCACACAGAATGGTAAATGAGTCTGAGGGGAGCTGGATTTATGTTTTTTAAGTACGTGTGTTGGACAGAGGGAGAGATTGGTCTTTAGTGGCTTTTAAGAAGAATTGCCTCATTTAATCTTGAGCAGACCATGCGTCTCGAGGGGTTTCCTCGGTCCTCTGTTGTTCCCGTGTCTGTATTTCATTCACGACTAGCTGCTTAGCTCATGCTTATGTGACTTTGTGCTGCGAACACACTTCTCCTCTGAGATTTCATATCTTATATGGAGACAATGTAAGGTTTGTAATATTAACTTCCAATCATACGTATTCAGATTCCTCCAAACTCCACTCACAGCCAAATGTTTACTTTAACAATACACTAGCTTCCCCTCTTACAGGTTCTATAAATGTCCCTTCAGGCTTTTCCCAGAAAAATGTCTGCCTAGAAAACTGTGCTCTACCGAAGTACAACAACAACAAGATCCTGATTACTCGACGCTTGTGACTGTGGCTTTGTGTCAGACGAGCAGCCAGACGGTTTTAGTCGCACACGATGAGCTGTTACTGTACATGGTGATCTCTCAGTGCTGAGAATGGAAACATGTGGTCATATCCTTGACCACTTTCACACAGAGAGGAATTTGACTCCCGCAACCTCGGCCGTAATAAATTGCTGAAGGCCGGGCAGCTGGGGTTGAATCACGTGCGGCGGACGAACTGCCTTCGTCCAAGTAACGAGCGTCTAAATGCGTTAGGGATAGCTGCACTTCCAAGAAGTCCTCGGGCCTCCTGTCTGCATCTTCACTCTTGAGTTCTTATTAGATCTGAGTACAGCAAATTCAGCAGAGCAGTTGACGGCCAGACTCCCTGCATCACCTGCTGCTGAACATCAGCTTCCACTTACTGGATTAAGTCTGGTGCAGCCGAACAGACGTTTTTGGGGGAGAAAATCAGTTTCTTCTTAATTTTTCAAGCTGACGGCTGAATATTTCTCAGTGCAGTCATTCTCAAAATATCTGCAGACAACCACAGCTTCCTCTTTCCAGCTAAACCCTGCGCGTGTCATGTGGTCCTCTGAAGAATCTGTAAATTGGCTTCTTGTGAAAATATCTGGTTTTGCACGTCATCTCCCACTTCCGGGCCCGCATCTCGAGTTGCTAATCGGACTGTAAACAAAAGAGCAGTGCACAGAAAAAGAAGCGTTGGCCAGTTTAATCTGCAGGTTACACCGCAACCCCAGAAATCTAGCCCCCTTGCCCCCCCAGAGGCTTCTAGTGGTCAGACCGATAGCCGATGGGGTTCAGAGATTGAGAGTGATGCGACTCATTTTCAGCAAGCGCACATTTTGTCTTTCTATTTCTCACAAACCGCACGTAGCAAAAACAAAACCGAGCGCGACTGTAGTGGTTCAGTATGAAGGCTTGTTTTTATTGAGAAGGTGGCTGATCGTAAATCACTTAACAGTGCAGGTTTGTAGGCTAAATGCTTTCTATCCATCTCTCCCTCCCTCTCTCCCTCTATCTATGCGAGTGTGTGTGTGAGACACTGTCCTCTATTCCAATCCGTCCTGGGAGCATTTACTGTTACAGGGCAGTAGCTGTCATCCTATGTCCCTGTATGTATTGTATGAGATGGCGGTGGGGACGTCATGTGTATCACTGTGCTTCATGCCAACATCATGTGTATATGATGTAGTGGTAGCATCCTGTGTACACCTAGAGGACACCCTAATGTCCCCCAATAAAATCACGCACACACACACACACACACACACACACACACCCTTCAACAATAATCTCACAACCCACAGCGAGACTGGCAGCATCTGGATTTCTTTACATGCATGCATGGGCACACACGAGAGGCTATTATTACTGATACACACACACAAAGACTGCAGAGCACACGTGACTACTTGGCAGTCACCCGGGTACCCTCTGCTCACATAGTATACTCCATCACTGATGCTTACCCTCTCACACACACATGCACACACGCAGGAATCAATGGCAGTTTTCACCTCCATCTCAGAGGCCGTGGTTTTACAGTCGCTCGCCTTCAGGTGTGTTTTTAAGCTGTTTGTGTGTATGCGAGTGTCTCTTTCTTACTATATACAGCTGCAGACTGAAATTCATCCTCACGCATGATTAATCACAGACTATACACTCGCACAGAGGCAGATGTCAGACTAACAAAGTCTGACTTTAGGAACCTGAAAGTGTTGTTCCGTCTACAGACTTTGAATATGTGAGACATGTAAATGTCTCACATATTCATAACAGACATCGCGGTCATCACACTCCATGCAGTGAGAGTTTGCTGGTGGGTCTTTTAAAATGGGTTAGTCATGCATTATATATACAACAGGACTTCTCTCTCGTTCTGCTCTCGTTCTATTATCTTTCTCTGTCTCACTGCTTTTATCTAAGTTGCTCACTCTTGTCTGTGTTCTTTTCTTTTGTTGTTTGAGTATAAAAGCCCATCTTTTTCTAATCAGCTGAACGTGTGTGTGTGTGTGTGTGTGTGTGTGTGTGTGGTGAAGATTGTGTGTCTTTGTTGGTGTGCCCGCACATTATCATTTCATTTTTTTTATACCTGAATCCAAACACGGCATCACCGTTTTTAGTGGATCAGTGTGCGCTCAACTGTTTGTCTGTCAGTTACGACGAACGACTGTATTTATCAAAAAGCAGCGCATTAATTCTGTCCCCAGCTGTGACGGCTATTGTGTTGGATTGAATTCACACCGCCAGTCTAATCTTCTCTTCATAAATGGACGAACGGATAGACTGTGTCGACATCTGTTCAATCCAAAAATTAGCTATTTGGTGTGTTTTAACTTTAGCTTGTTCTAATTCTAGTAATCAGATTTGATGACGGTGCATACAATTGGAGCGAAAAGCCCAATTGACACTAATCGGTGTTGTAATCGACATTAATTCAGTTCTCACACTGTGCGTTCTTTACAGTGACTCGGTGCGCTGACTCAGCTGTATGAAGAACATCATTTCTGATCATATTAGGATTATGCGTACTGGGAATTCATAAAGTCACACACATTTCTGAAAATGGATATTATGCGTTTGCAGCAGGTTCAAATTAAATTTAGGACATTGATGTTCCAGTCCCATTTCACTTCATCTGTCCAATAAAGCTGAAATAATTAAAAGACGAGAGAAAATGTCCTAAAATCACTCTGTCCTAACAATGTGTCCGTGTCTCTTCCTGTCAGAGGGTCCTGGAGTGCGATGAGGAGAGAAGAAAAAAAAATGAAGAGGACGACAGAGGAAGCGAAGGAGAGGAGAAGGAGGAAGAGGAGGGGAGGAGCAGTGATGAAGGTTTCATGGGAATGACTCCGCTGCTGCAGGCTCACCATGCCATGGAGAGGATGGAGGAGTTTGTACACAAGGTAATGAACACACACACACACAGGTGCATGCATATTAAGTCATGTTAAAATGATAGAAAGAAATATCCTTAACTTATCTATACAGACGTTTTGGAGCGCCACACCTTTAAATCCACCGCCCACTAAATTAGATTATCGTCCCAAGATAATCTTTGTTTTACCACGGTGGTTTTATACAAACTCTCAATAAACCACATAGTAAAATAAACCAATGAAACCATTGGTAGAAGAACTGTTAAGTAAACGGTTCTTCTACCGTTTACTTTGCCAGAACATCATTATGGTTTGAGGGATTTCACTAATTCTTAGAAGCCAGTTTATGTCTTGTAGGCGTTTTCTTTATCAACTATGTTTCATTATTTTGAAATGAAAATGAACTAAAAGGCAGACATTAAGCGTTAGAGTGTCTGTTTGTAAGATGATACTACTGGAATGTTGACTTAATACAGCAGCTCGGACTAATATTCACACACACGCACACTGAGAGTCTGCTGAAATTGCAAACAGCAGGTTGTAAATTAGGGAAATGAATCACTGGAGAGAAACTGTCAATGGAGTCTCTCTCTCTCTGTTCTCTCCATTAAGGGTGTTTGGAGTGTCGGACTACAGTTTATATATTTACATCACTTGACCATGATACTGTTCATTTGACACCTACACTACACACACTCGTGATCACATACTGTACTCCTCCTCTTACAGACACACACACACACACACATCCTATTTCAAGGACATTCGGTAAACAACCAGCTGCTTCTAATGAAAGGCAATTTGACCCGGAGTTATTTTCTAATTAACATTTACCTTTCTCACCAGCCTTCAGGTTGATTTTCTAAACTTCAGCATGATGTTACTATCTGTGTCCTTTATTAACCAATCAGGTGTGGGAGGGCCGGTGGCGCGTCATGCCTCACGACGTGCTCCCCGACTGGCTGAAGGACAACGACTATCTGCTTCACGGCCACAGGCCGCCCATGCCTTCGTTCCGCGCCTGCTTCAAGAGCATCTTCAGAATCCACACGGAGACCGGGAACATCTGGACACATCTGCTAGGTAGTACACACACACTAATGCTTTTTTATTTTGACTGAGTGCCATTAGAATGAGTTGGATGTTTGTGCTGCCAACGTTGGTTTAAAGCTGCTTGTTGTTTCTAACTTTAGTTGAAGCCAAAGAGCCAGTTAAGTGTTGTCTGACTTTGAAACAACTGTGTGAGTTCCTGCTGCCACCTAGTGGTTAAACAGAGATACTGCACCTGCATGCCTTTGTGATTTGAATGAGACTGCGTAAATAGTGAATACTGTTGATGCTATATTTCCTGTTTTGGTGTGTTTGGTTTGAATAAACATGTGATATGTCTGTACCTCTGCATTTAAAATTGACATAAATGAGCACATTCTGGTTAACTTAGAGGCAGATGGCATATTTGTATTTAATTATCTTGATTAATACTGAATTCTCACTTCTTGTCTCTCCCTATGATTTGCTTTCTCTGCAGGCTGTTTGTTTTTCCTCTGTCTGGGTCTGATGTACATGTTCAGGCCCAACATGTCTTTTGTGGCTCCGTTCCAGGAGAAGGTGGTGATCGGAGTGTTTTTCCTGGGAGCCATCCTCTGCCTCTCCTTCTCCTGGCTCTTCCACACAGTTTACTGCCACTCTGAGGGCGTCTCCAGAGTCTTCTCCAAGTAAGATGCACATCCTGTAAACTCAATAGATTTCACTATCTGAGATTCTGCAGTAAAATGTCCTTATGGACATCTACAGTGTCTGTAATCGTCCACTCTGTGTTTCCCTGTGTCTAGGTTGGACTACAGTGGGATTGCCTTCCTGATCATGGGCTCATTCGTCCCCTGGTTGTATTACTCCTTCTACTGCTCCCCTCAGCCCTGCTTCATCTACCTGATAGTGGTGTGCATACTGGGATTGGCCGCCATCACCGTCTCCCAGTGTGACTTCTTTGCCACGCCGCAGTACAGAGGAGTCAGAGCAGGTAGAGTGAGATAGTGACGTGATACAAGCTTTATTTTGTACATTAAAGCTGCTCTAAACTTTACTCTCACCGCTGTCATCAGCAGACAATCAGTTCAACTCAATCGATTGAGACAGTCTAAAGCTAACATGTGTGCTGTAACATTTTTCTGATGTGAGTATACTGTAAGAGGCTGTTGTGTTAGCACATCTTTCTGTGATTGCCCTCGAGTGGCCAAAAACAGATCTTATAATGCCGGTGTAAGTATTGACAATCTCTCTCTCTTCACTGTCTGCGTTTAGGAGTGTTTGTGGGTCTGGGTCTGAGTGGCGTGGTTCCCTCCCTGCACTTTGTCATCAGCGAGGGTCTGATCAAAGCGACCACCATGGGTCAGATGGGCTGGCTGCTGCTTATGGCGACGCTCTACATCACTGGAGCCTGTCTGTACGCCGCTCGCATCCCGGAGAGGTTCTTCCCTGGCAAGTGTGACATCTGGGTAAGTGACTAACAAACACACACACACACAGGGTAACAAAATATTAGGGATGAGTTCTCAAACTTGAAGCCACTTTCCTCTGCAGTAAAATGAGAGGCGTTCTAAAGGGAATTTGGTGCTCGTAAACACTACAACTTTCGTCCACAGGGATGGCAGAAATCGACACAAAATGAAAGTTCCTTGTAGTAAATCTAAAGCAAAACCAATACCTCTCTTATGTCACTCTGTCTCTCACACACGTTTAATTCACTCTTTCTCTCTCTCTCTCTTTCCTAGTTCCACTCCCACCAGCTGTTTCACATCTTGGTGGTCGCAGGAGCTTTTGTTCATTTCCACGGCGTCTCAAACCTGCAGGAGTTTCGCCACAAGGCAGGAGGGGGCTGCGCCGAGGACGGCACTCTCTAACGCACACAAACTGACTCAGTCATTCACACACATTTTGCACACACGCACACACACACACATACACACACAAAACCTAAGATACTCACACACACACTCTCCCCCTAAACTGAAGACCGACGTGGCTTGTCTGGTGTCTGTGTGCGTAGTACACAGGATTGCCTCCAAAGGGGCGCCATTAAAACTGACTGACGAGGGTTTTTGTTCCCTTTCTGTCTGTCTATCTTTCTGTCGATCTCCACCTCTTCTGGCTTTGTTGCTTCTATAAAACTGCTCCAAGATGGTGTGTTTTATAAACCAGTTTTTGAGATTCTGCTTTCTCAAAGGAAATATCTCTGTTTGTTTGTGAGGGAGGCAAGGCATTCAAAGCCTCCCTTCAGTAGTGCTACATTTTGTTCTGTGTCGAGTTCTGACATTTAAGAGTTTAATGGTTTGATTTGAAAAGGAAGCATAATTGTGGCTTTAAAAAAATACATTTTGAAGTGTTTTTACTGATGTTTTCTAAATCACACTTAAGAGCATTAGAATAGGATTAAAAAGAAAAAGAATTGAGTGGATTTCTTCCATGGTGGTGAAGGTTGCAGGGTGAGATGATGGGAACCTGGGGTTAATAGTCACTTTTAAAAGTAAAAACAAAAAAAACAAAAAAAAAAGTTTTCCATGTAAATAAGATTTCTAAATTTTGGGTTATAGATTTGTATGAAATATATATGAAAAAAAATGGAGGTGTTATATCTACACTTACTGAGGTGCAATGGTGAGAATAATACAATATAACTGCGGTTGGTGGGAAGTGCTTCATGTAAACTTCATGTAGTCTGTATATGCAAGGACGACTAGTGAAGGCAAGGAGGAAATATACAGCACAGCATCAGAATCTTATTTAACAAACAGCAACTTCAAAAGTCGCTGATATTGACAACTTAGAGTCACTTTTCTGGCCTAAAAAACTCGAAATATAAAGGAGGAGACGGCTCAACGACTGTCCTCTACTCGGTATTTTCCACTTTTGTGTTTAACCGGCACCCTCGTGTTCGTCAAGCATCACAAAGCTGGAGAACAGATCTCAAATCAGGCCTCATGAATAAAACGTTCCCCATGTGAACAGTTGTGCTTTAAACCAAATCTAAAGTCAAAAAACGAATTTCCATATCATCAACATAAGTTGACTCTTTTATAGTACATGCCCTGAACTGATTTGTGAAAACATGTCGAGCATAACTTAAAGATATTTTTTATAATAAGGCCCCAGAGTCATATTTATGATTTTGTTTTTGTTCATTGTAGTCCTCCTTTGGATACTCTGTCTTTTTGATTGGATTGCATTCTAATTCATTCACTGCTGTTTTTGGTATTATTATACTTTATTTTCTCTTTTCTACTATTTATCACTTATTTCTTGCATTTAGCCAGAAGTCATGTGATGTTAGAGTAGAGAGGCTCAGAGTACCAAGTCTCTCTCGTCCTAAAAATGTCAAAAAACAAGTCTCCTCTTAAGATCTGATACAGTTAACTACTTTAAGGGCACATGAACTGCCTCGTATATGGAGACTTGGTGATTAAAACAAGGGGAACCTTTTAAAAACGTGTTTTCTGGCAATACCAAAATCTCGCTCCAGCACAATAGAAACGCACAAAATGCAACAATTCTGAGCTTATCATAAACTGTACGTCTATGGTTGTTTGAAATTGAGGTTTGCATGTTTCTATTTGATGGAAGCTTTTTCTGAGCAGGAATTTGAACACAATTTCTCAGTGTTTCTTTTCTGTTCTTCATTTTTTGTTTTATCTAGTTCCTTAATTTATTTCTCTTGGTGAGCGCAAATTGTCTGTTGAAGCACACGTTCCGTTATGATGGGATGAGTGTTTGATTGCAATAGACCTTTATATCTGCTGTATTGTTCTAATAAAAAGTTTTTTTTAAAATCTGTCATCTCTGTCTTGTTAGTGGTTGAAATGTGCACAACAATTAACCATGACATGAAAGTGCATGATATAAAAAGCTTGTCGCCTGTACATAATTCCCCCTATTATGAGTTAGTGTCAAAAAAACAACTAAAAGGGCAGCACTTGCTTTTCCATTACTTACATTTTTATAACCAGGCGTCAGAATCTTGGTTGCCATTTTATATACAGTACATAACTTGGTTTAGGGGGCTGCACGGTGGTGTAGTGGCTGTCACTTTACAGCAAGAGGGGCCCGGGTTCGATCCCGGTGTTCTCCCCGTGGCAGCGTGGGTTCTCCGGCTTCCTCCCGTTGTCCAAAGACATGCAGCTTAGGTTATTTGGAGACTCGTAAAAAATTGCCCATAGGTGTGAATGTGAGCGTGAATGTTTGTCTGTCTCTATATGTGCCCTGCGATAGTCTGGCGACCTGTCCAGGGTGTACCCTGCCTTCGCCCAATGTCAGCTGGGATCGAGGGAACGCTCCTTGAAGTCCGTGAGTCCGTAAGGGTGGAGATTGGGATTGGGTCATAGTGTATATATAGCAGGTCAAAAAAGTCATTGTATAGCATGTCGAAAACAGTCATAGTATGCAGTGGTGTATAAAGTACCCAAAAGCCATACTTGAGTAAAAGTAAAGATACCTTACTGGAAAATGACTCCAGTAAAAGTCACCTATTAGAATACTACTTGAGTAAAAGTCCTAAAGTATCTGATATTTATTGTACTTAAGTATCAAAAGTAATTTTCTGATATTAAATGTACTTAAGTATTGAAAGTAAAAGTACAAGTAAATGCTGTTAATAAAAAAGCAAAGGGTCAGAATTTTGAGAATTATGAAGTTTATTATTTTAAGTGCTGTGGCACCATGACCAAGGACAAGGAGCTGTGTTGAAAATAATTGGGTTGGCTGTGATCCATCCAGGAGCAACAATATTCAACATAATATATTGTACATAAGTATACTTTTGCATCTGCTATGAACTTATCATCATAATTCTCAGAAAAGCAATATGACACTATGAAGGAGTTGTAACAGTGCGTTTATAAGTATGCTCATTCCAACTAGAGGATGTAGAGGGCAAATGCATAATATTATGTTCAGCAAAGAATATCCACTTGATGCATCAGGTCAGTGTTTTGAGAAAGGACACCTGCCTTGTAAACTCCTACGGGCCTGATTTGAACACAATAGGCAAAGGTTTTGCTCAAGCTGAATCTGCTACCATCATAACTCCATCTGATCATCCACAAAATGACTCAAATATCAAAACATGATCGATACTAAAGCAGCAACCCAGTGATTACTTGAAACTGAAAAATGTCCTGTTCATCTTCAAAAGGCAATTCTACTAGAATGTAGCTTCTTTACATTCTATTAGAATGTAAAGAAGCTACATTGTATAGAACGATTCTATTGAAGTTATTCCTTTTTTAAATGCTTTAGACGAGTCACTAATCACTTTAAAAGAGTGATATACAGACATGAGATTGATCTTCTCATGTCACTCTCTTTATACAATGATATAAATTCATCCCCGTTTTATTGATATCTTACGAAAAGTTACTCCTCATTTTTCGTGCGTTTTTCCTGCAAAAGTCCAGCAACATGAGTCTGTTTTCGCTTGTTACGCGCATACTGTCTTTCCAAAATAAACTTCCATCTTCACAGGAAACAACTAAGGTTTAGGCGATGAAACTACTTAGTTAGGTTGAGGAAAAGATCGTGGTTTGCGTTAAAATATCTACGGAAGTGGCGTTGCTTAAGTACGGAAGTCACGTCACAAATAAATCAACATTGGCTTCTCGTTTCACGCACGGAACAAACTGCAGCCTCCTGGAGGAAACACCAGTGTTTGTTTGACCCATCCACCTCTCCTCATCCCACCCGTCCTGTGTGGAATTCTACTCGTGTTGTCGCTCGCTAGCTTTAGCATATAGCATCCTGGGCATCACTGGGAATCTAAACACCGCGGCTTTGAGAGCACTTGTTTTGCGCATTAACGTGATTAACCAATGATTTAACTGATTCATCAAACCTGCTTGCTTGCAGTCTCTGTTCCACCACAGTCCCCGACGCTGGTCTCATGATTCATTTTGTTTCTAAAGATAGATTTGATTTTGTAGCGAGTAACGAAGGTTTCAGGGGAAATGTATCGGAGTAAAAGTATCAGTTTTCTTTGCAAGATGTAGTGAAGTAAAAGTAAAAGTCAACAGAAATATAAATAGTGAAGTAAAGTACAGATATCCAAAAAAACGACTTAAGTACAGTAACGAAGTATTTCTACTTCGTTACTATACACTACTGATAGTATAGCATGTCGAAAACTATCATATAAAAGCCATTCAATCAGGAGAGACTAGAATTTCACAATAATTTATTACACATTGTACAAATTTGAATGGTGCAACGTCTTTGGCAAATGGACTTCATCTTGAAGGAAGACAATCGAGGGCTGGTGATGCTGAGGTCGGATGAGGCATAATCCCGCTGGAGTCCAGCCACTGGTCGTGGTGTTGATGAAGGGAGTTGATGCAGAGTTATAAACGTCATAGTATAGCATGTCGAAAAAAAGTTCTAAAAACATAATAGTAAACATTCATAGTTTAGTAGGTCTGAAAAAGTGAAAATAATTTTTGTATAGCATGTCGAAATAATGAATTAGTGTATGCAATAAAAAGTAATTATGTTACAAAAAATGTCGTAGCATAATGTCATAAGAAAGTCAAAGCAGAGATTTGTTCCTTTATATTTGAGTGTACACTGTTGTGAAATTCCATTATCCCTCCAGCAGTAGATACAGCATATAATACAGAAAGACAACAAAACAATCATTGAGTCAACATCCATTTATTTTTATTATAAAAAAAAAAAAAAAAAATCGAAATTTTTAGACTCTGAAAACAGAATGACATCAGAGTCCTTTACCTAGATTCATTTTAAACTTATTTGTTCCTCAAAAACAGAGTAAATCATGCCTCCCCTTCCCAACGAGCCTGAGAAACAACCTTTACAAATGAGTGATGAAAGAACAAAAAGCACAATGCCAAATAACAAAACAATACAACTTAAAAGGTATTTCCAAAGGGAAACAAATATATTTTAAAGCATAATGCTTCAAATGCATTATTTTTTTTCCAGCAGAGACAAACAAAAAGTAAAATAAGCACTTTGGTCTTCTCCCTCAAACACACTGAAGATGATTATGCTAGCAGTTAGCAGAATGCTAACTCATTAACTGAGGCAACAAAAGCCTTTTAGTCACATTTAAGATATTTTCTGTGGGTATGATAGCTTCCTGTACCATGCGGGATTTACTTCAGCGTGATGTGAATTGTCAATAAAATATTCATAAATTCAGAGCTAGCACTCGCTTGAACAGCACACACATTAAGCTGGTGAGGTACAAACAAAAAAAGAAAATCTCTTGACATTGAAACATGACGTAATTTATGTACTTCCATTTTAAATCTGTTTTTAAAGTGCATATCTTCGTTCAGACCTGCTTTAACTGCAGTGTTCAGAAACCTGTGACAGACAGAGGCTAGTCGACTTTCACTTTTTATTACCGTCAATTGTCATGCACATGAACCGCCCGTCTAATCAGCTCTGTGATATCTAGTTCTATACATCAACTGAATTTTTTAAACTGGTAGATGATGGAACCGTCTAATCTTGGCCGACGAAAACTGACCAATCAGACAGTCCCAAAAAAATGTCAGGAGCTAAAGTATTCATGCTGTTATGGTACGCTGTCATACACGTCATTAACCCCTGGCTTCAAGGGAGAGAAATTACATTTGATGCTAAACTGCAACACGAGGAAAATATAAAGAAACCTCCTTTTTGATTAATATGAAATGTTTTTCTTTATGTATGTGAATGTGTTGTACGATATAATTATATATTTTAGAATAGAATATCACTTTCCCTTTGTGGAATATTTGGGGGCACTATATAGAGCAGAACTTTAACACTCAGAAATCACTCATTTATTGTCCCGCCTTCTTCTTTGAGTGTCAGAATTCTGACACAGGCTGTCAAATCAAACTACGTCTTTGCCGAACACCCGTCTCCTTGATCTCAATGAAAAACATCAGCAGGTCAAGGAAAGACACTGAAAACCGCTGTGCCAAGAGGATACGACTGCACTTATACGAGGCTACGTAAATATGCGATGGCGAATGTTATTGACATGGATTCACCTCGAGGACTTTCCTTTCATAAAGGATGGCTCAGCGTACCGTATGATACATGAGATAAGAAAGGAAGCATTGATGCACCTTTCCTTAGCATTTAAAGAATCCAACCAGCTCTCATCATGGCTGCCACTTAGTATAACCGAGTTAAATGACCTAGAAGTATCCAAGTAGAAAAGACTATTGGACCTCAGCCACAGTGTCAGTTTGAGAGACAAATCTGTTATTTTACACAGAAACAACAAATCGGGATCATCACGAAAACAACAAAACCACGTCACTCAGATCTAACCAGATACAAAAGGATCTTATGTTAAGTAATTTAGGAAGTAGCTTCACGCGAGAGGAATAGGCTAATGTCCTAATCTGCCCTTAAAAGTCGGCCTGCTCTGCTTAGTTATATTAAGCAGATCATTTCTGTGAGGACATGTGACTACAGCACACATGCATTACCAGGAATACTGTCAAATCCATTGATGTGGGACATGAAACTGAAGTCAGTAAAAAGGGATGTTTTTAAACGTCAGAGGTTTGTGTTAATGTCACCTATCGTCTGTTGTTTCCATTAACTGGAGGATTGTTTCTTTGCATTGCTGATGTCACGAGGTGTTTCACCTCCCCGGTAAGAACCAAACCTGGGAACTATTTTCTCAGGTAAGTCGGCAAATTAAAAACTTTAAATACAGAATGGTTCCATCCATCAACAGACAGACAGCGCTGGTATGAATAGGGAATAGATGTCATCTGTGAAATGCCAGTAATTTAATGTATTTAATGTCGGTGGACCATTGTTTTCACCAAATCTGCCAAGTTTGAGATCATAAAGTACCCTTGTAAATGTAGTTTTATGAGGATATGCTCTGCTTGCATCTGTAAAGATACGTTTTGATTATTTATTCAAACCATTAGGTTTGCAATTCAACTGGAGACTCATCTTCCACCAAATGTATTTTTTGTCTGCAGAAAACCACTGGAGTAGAATGTGTATTCTAAAAAACAAAAAGAAGACTCACGGTTGTAACAGTTTGAAATTCAGTTTTAAAATGTACTTAACATATAAATAATAACCTTACGTTATAGCAAATAACGACACGAAAACTTACAATAAAATGATAGTTGTCCCATCGACAGCTCGATACTTTGCCTTCAAACGTGCGAATGAAATGAAAACGGAACCGTTGCGAATGCAGCCGAGATCCTAAACCGTCACATTAAACATAACTTATGCTTAGTAATAATAATACTAACACTTGCTGTAGACAGGTCAAATATAGCATTCGTTTGTGTCATAGAACACAAAACGTTAAACAAACTACAATTCAAATAAACCCTAAGTAGAAAACACTGAGTGGGTAAATAAATAGGCTTTGAATTGCACAAAGTGAGAACGTTGACGGTGAAAGCACTCCAATATGTCGAGACGTTCGGACTTTCAGTCAGTCGACCCGTTTAAATCAGTCAGACGAGCATTCAGTGAGTCAGTCAGTGAGAGTGAAGGCCGACGCCCGTTCTCCGTTCACTGTCACGATTTAATCTTCCACAGCTGTGAACAGGAAGTAAAGGAACAGGATTAATACACAAAGCTACACAAACAGGCAGTGTTATTTGTGCTTGTGCTAGTGAGACGAAACTATGAGCACATTTCAATTGTTAAAGATATGAACCAACTAGAACCTCAAATCATCAAAGAAACCGAAGGAGACACGGCGTGGTCTTCAGTCAGTCTTAAGTGGATGGAACAAATATTTTGTTGAACAATAGGATACATTTCCACAACAATGGGCTGTGTCCGCATAGCGTCGTTTTCTGAGCGCAAGTGTCTTTTTTTTTTTTCAATTGTTCCCAATAAGGAACGTCACAAGCTTCCAGTACCGCTTTCTGGTCCGACCTGGCACACTTACCTTCAGGTTAAATCCTAACAGGTCAGATATGACTCCTGACACGGCAGACAGGATGACCACCTGGGTGATGTTGTAGAGCAGAGGGTTCATAGTCAAACCATACAGCCTGAAAGGAGTATCCAACTCCTGGAGGAGGAGAGAGGAGAGAGAAGAGAAATAAACAGTTAAGATTTTAAGGCGTATTTAAAAGTTCATAAAAAGACTGTTGGTGCAGGTATCACAACAGAAAGAGAGTTTTGAAGATGGGCGGTACCTTGAGTAGTTTGGTAGCCAGTTTTAGGACGTTGTTCACCAGTGTCAGCTCCTCTTTCTTATTTGGCTTCTTCTCCATCTTCAGATACAGGTTGATCTGTGACACACACACACACACACACACACACACACACACACACACACACACACGACGTCAGTGTTTGGAGACAATGTTCGGCTGTGGGGTTACGCATGTAAACTCTGCGTGTACCTGTTCGGTGAGCAGTATGGAGGTGTTGCTGTACTTCTTGCTGGTCTCAGAGCCCAGAGTGACGAACCTGAGCAGGAACAGAGACAGACTGGAGCACCAGATCACCAGCTCCCAGTTATAGTGACACTCCAGGAAGGTTTCATGGATGTGGAGCAACTGGAAGAAGAGAGGCAAGTTCATTTAAAAGTGGTTATTTTGGTATAAATTGTGTTTTTTTTTTGGTCTAAGTCGTCAAGGCTTACTGATGAACTTAAAGCCGCTATGTGTAGAATTTAAAAAGTTCGATGGTTTGACCCACTCAGAACTTACCTGGGCACAGCAGATGAAGACGACAGACAGAGTAAGCAGGAAGGCAGACGACACGATCACATCCACTGAACGCTGAGGACCCCGTCTCTGCAAAAGCAACAGTCCAGAGTTACACTTGTGTGTTTATGTCTTTGTGTTTCAATCCCCACAGCCGTGAATGAGCCCAACTCCCGAATGAACAGATATATATATTTCATAAGGGAGGAAACCTTGAGGTAGGAGCGTAGCGACAGCCACATCTTGATGTTCTGGACTTTCTTCAGTCTAAAATGGGGGACCTCAGACTTCCTGGCTCTGCGGGCCGAAGTCAGGTGACCAAACAGTTTGGCAAACAGCAGCCTCTGAAACACACGCGTATGAACAATAATCGGTTTAATCAGAACTGACGGGAGAGTTCATACTTAAAGCATCCAACTAAACGTTGTGCTGAAGTAAAGAACTCTCGCAGCTTCGCCATCAAAAGCAACAGCTCAGCAGGTCTTTGTCTCACCTGCTTGTAGGTCCTCTCTGCCACACTGAGCAGGAAGAAGAAGAGCCATATCAGGCAAACGCGTACCAGGAAGCTGAGGGTTACCATGGTGATGACCAAGGCGTCCGATCCAGACCCGCCCCCCAGTGCCACAGACAGCAGCTCATTGGCCGAGAGCGTGGTCAGCTGATCCCAGTCGCTGTACTGAGCCAGCCTGCAGGAGACGGACAGAGACCGACGTAAGTAAACCGGACAATATTTCAATATTTGTACTTTTCTAACTATTAGTGAGAAAGCACGCGTCTTGAATCCCTCAATTTCTTAAATGTATTATATTTAGATGACGTGTGTTATGCAAAGCAGTACCTGTACACAAAAGGTGTGAGGCCGAGCGTCACTGAAACCACGTTCCCAAAGACCTGGTAACCAATACCAGGCGTGTAGAGATTCACCTGTGTAGGGAGGAGGACCAACAGAAAGAAGTGAATCCTTCTTTGCCTCAGTTTGTTGTCTTTTTGCACAAACGTAGGTAGGTAAGACATAAGATGTATGCGATTCCTTTAAGACCACAAGAATCGTCACTCACTCGGTTCATGATCATCCCGCTGATCTCCAGAACGGACATGTCGGCCTTCTTACACTCGTTTCCCTCCCACACTATGGCGCTCACTCTCTCCAAACCGGGATTGGAGCTGTGCAGCCAGGGAGCGTGACCCTGAGGGCACAAAACAAAAACACACACAAAACATTCACATTATTATTGACCTGTCTATTTACTGCAACCCCTTTGCTCTGGAGTACTACTCAAATGGGACTTTGGGGAAAAGACAGAAAGCCGGGAGACAACAAGTCTTTGTGATTAGCAGAAGAAGTCTGGGTTGAAACCAGACAGAAAAGTGCAACTTATTAAGATGTTTCGACAGCATTTAAATGACTTTTTAGTGTTAAGCAGCTCATAACTACAAAGTGAATACAAACATTTAAATGGGGTTGAAATAACAAAACCTAGACATCTTAAAAAAAACAACATTTTTCAATCAAATTAAGCTTTAGATTCCTATTAATATTTAGAAGTGCAAATCATCAAAACTGTCTAGCACCGAGCGAGCCACACGTCTCATGTAAGAGGCCTTACAGACCTGGTGGAAGGGGTCGTCTCTGTATTCCTTTTTAGCAGGAGGACAGACGGGCGTCCCTCCTCCTTCTCCCTCTGTAAAGAAAAGGAGTCACAGTATTAATTCCACTACAAACACCAAAAGATTATCGATGAGCAGGGACTTTAGCAGGGTCATCAAAACAAGACAGTCATTCAAACAGACAAGTCACAAATGTTTCTTTAGCTGTTCTATGCCAATCTCATCTGCAGACCTGTCTCTGATGTGCAGGAGGATCTGCACTCAGCACAGTGCAGGAAGTCTTCCCACATCAGGTCCTCTGTCTCGGACTCGTGTCGAGTGCTCTCCGAGTCCTGAGTCCTCAGACTGGAACATCTGGAGCTGCAGCTGGTGCCAGACTTGGGAACGTCCTGACAGACATCAGAGAGGATTGTTGTTTTTATTTTAGAAAGATATGAAACGATGCCTTTGTCCCGTTTCCACGGGTTGCCTTTTGTGTGCGTTTACCTCCACAGCAAAGTGTTTCTTGTAGTGGTGTGCGTTCTTGCGGTTTCTGAGTGTCGAGTCGCTGTTCATCCTTTCGACTCCCCTGCGGAGGGCGCTGTAGGACGCTTCAGGGTCCTCCTCGCTGGACGCCTCATCCGATGCTGGCTCCTAAAAGACAGAATCCACGCATCAGCCACATCCCGCAGAGACAGACATGCTGTGGGTCTGTAGCCAAAACAGTGGTTATGCTTCTTGTTCAGATGGATCACCTTGTTGCCGCTTGCTAGCATCAGTCCCGTGCCGAGGGGCGCGTGAATGTGCGCGGGCTGGACGTGAGAGTTCCAGCACACCTCATCGGCCCGGTTCAGCAAATCACACCGCTGCTCGTGGAGCTGAAGCCCCTCCTCGCTGCTGCGATTCGTCACCCGGCCGTCCAGCGACACGTATCCGTTGTCCGTCTCGGTCGACTTGTCGATGGACAGCTTGGACTTCTTGGATCTGAAGGAGGAAGCAGAGGAAGGGAAGGAGGACAGGTAGAAGGACCAGCGAGAAGGAGAGATCGATAGAAAAAAAAGATAGACGTGTGTGGATGGACAGATGGATACAGACAGATATTTAGATTAAAAAACACAACGAGGCAGTGAGTTCAGCAGTTGTGAAGTTCATGCGGTGAGATAAGTCACACTAACAGGAAGCATTCAACACTTCACTGTGGAACATTCATACAAAACGAACACCGATATTGGAGACAAAATGTTGCGCAAAACGCGATGTACTGGAGCATTGACAATCAATTAACTATAGTGTCATCAACGTGCAAAACCTAGTGTAACAGAGAAATAACTGACTGAGGTGGAGGTGTCTCTTGCACCGAGTGCTGAAGTGAGTGTGGCAGATAAATCGATAGATGAAGAAACCCAATCAGGAAGTTATTTAGTGCTCTGAATGTTCCACACTGTTGTTGAAGCTGGTCAAAGTAGAAGCTTGGGGCGTAAGACAGTTACGGTCAAATTCACTTTATAGGCGTAGAATTGTTTTGGAGAGCAGAACTCTCAGATAGATGGTTTTTGGTAGAACCACGGCCCACGCTTCTTTTTAAACACACAGCTCGGTCAGCAAGTCATGCACATCAAAGTCAGCCGCACGGTCCCTTCGTTCCTCACTGACACAGTGGCGCCAAAGACAAACGAATGTTTTCATTGTGATAATTTGGCGGCTCGGGAATTTAACAGTTGTGCAGACAATGTTGCTTATCATCAAATGTGATTTATTCAGGTCGACCGATGAGAAATTGGGCAATTTTATGTTGGAAGATAAAAGTGAACGATGTGATAAGAAAGGAAGAGACGGTGCAGCTGACGAAGCCGAGGTAAGGTCTGACTCCAGGCCGGGGTTCAGTTCTTGGCATTTCAGTTAAAAAATAATGACATTAAGAGTACATGTTTAAGAGTAACCAGTAAGATTATGAGACAAAATGTAATTATTTGATGAAATTTATTGATTTTACCAACAAAAAATAAATAATATTCTCACTAAAGTTGGCAAAAACGAGAGAACTTTACAGCTGGATCAATCGGTGAACTGAACCCCAGTCCTGTGTTAGTATATCATCTCGTTTTAGGAAGATGAGAAACGAAAATACACACCCAGCTTTACAGATATCATGCCAGAAATCTTGGAAGAGAGTGCCCAGGCTGTATGTGGTGCTGGCTGAGTGGGAGTGTGGCGCCCCCTCCTGTGTGTTATCGGTAGTGCTAGACCCGTCGCCTTCCCTATGCACCTCCATCTGAGATGCCTTCCTCAACTTCCTTCAGTTTGAAAAGAATAGAGAGTGGAGAGAGACTTAAAGAGGAGACTAAGAAGACTTGGAACTAAAGCAGTGTGTCCACTGGGAAACCCTGGCTGCATTGTCTTATTATAATGTAAACTAGTGTAAGCAGTAAATAATACTTTAACACCCGCCAGACACAGACGCCAATACAGTAAAAAGGCAAATTCTACCAAAACCCTCATTTAGGTTGTTATTCTGCAAAAGTAGATATTTGAAGCTTGTAGCTTTGAAACAATGCGATTATAAAACATCACATTTCCACTTATAGCCTTTTGTTGTGTTATATCAACTTTTGCAGTATATGTACGTAAACTGTGATAAGAGGAGAAGTGAATCCTCGGTATAATAAATGTTGTATGAGATCGTATGCATTTTCTGACCTGGAGACTGATTTCTCCGTTTGTCTATGAGATGAAATGTCTTGGACTACAAGACTTGGATGAGGAAGAGAGAAAGACACATATAGAGGAATGTACAGAGGAACAGAGTCTTGTGTAATTATGATTTTTCCTCTTTCTTTAATAACAAGAGACCCAAAATGTATTCCCTGAAGGCACAAAACACCATTAACTCGCTTCCTTCCAAAACCCTTTCCCAAAAACTGTGGCATGGTCCAATTTTCTTCCCAAGAGTCTGAAAATTGTCTTTAAATAATTATGAACCAGAAACAGCAGCCAACACACTGATGAGCTGCAAACCGACAGAGAACCACAAACTGCAAGTCTAAGAACTACAAAAACACACCAAGTAAAGCAAGCTACGTCCTACTTTCACACACAATCAATCCCGTCTGTCTTTAACCAGCGGCATTACATTTATCATGGAGAGATTCCAAGGCTGGCATGTAATCTAGAGATAGTAAAAGATCCTTTAAAGAACATAACTGTCAAAATGACTCATTTAGAAAGATTAAATGAATACTATATTAAGTCGGAAATCTGAGAAGAGTCTGTTGATATTGACAGGAAGTCTCTCCGTGATAAATAGGCTTTTATTCAGTTTGAGTTTTTGTGAAAGAAGCTGACTGAGAACTTGTCAGAACAGTGAGAACAAACGCAATCCAGCACTTTCTACATCTCCTGCTTATCTCCATTTCCCCTTCTCGTCTTTATCTCCTCCCGTGTTTCCCTTGCTTGATCTCTACTTCCCTTCTTTTCCACTCTCCACCTCGGTTTATCATTTCCCCTTTTATCTTCTGCACCGCTTTCCCTCATAAAACAGCATTCCCTCAGTTCTCTCCCCCGACCTTACCTGCGTCTCTTCCCCCCGCTGCTGGAGACGGGTTTCGGGGTCCTGGTGGAGACGATCTGACAGTGGACGGTGCCCAGCAGCAGCATGAGCCAGATGGCTCCAAACACCTCGGTGGTCGGTATCCCATGAGGCTGGGGGATGATCGCGTACAGGGCTGCTGCTGCAACTGCACATTTGGAAAATGGCATCCATTAAAAAAATATAAACACAGACATCAGATCACAGTTTAAATGTTTGCATTTCTTCACAGCTTCAAACTTCATCGTTTGGGTTTTCCAGTCACAATGGACCCTACATGGATTCCCAATAGCCTTGCAGCTATACGTGATGTGCGTATAACTTCAATACTTCTATGCAGAGAAAGTCAAGGTGCTAAAAATCCAGATGTTTGTGGAGACCAAAAAGCGGGTAAAGATTCCACGTGTGATGCGTCGTCTGCTGGATGTGCAACTGAGCAACAACAAATGACATAACGGCTGCATCTTGGGTTTGTGCATCTGCACTCTGGTGCTCAAAATGAACTTGATGAAACTGTGGTAATAATTCGAAAAAGGAAGGTTTGCGAGTGTTGTTATGCGGCATGTGGGGGAAGTTAGCAGGAAGGGCGGAGGGTTAGAGAGAGAGATGAAAACAACAGTCTGCTTTCAACGGGGCTAAAAAGGGCCTCGTGGCGTATGTGGTGCAAAACACTGCTCAGACATCTGAGCAGCGTTTGTGCAGATATGTAGGCGTAACACTGCGCTTTCAAGATATTGTGCATACCGCATGTGCGTTCTAAGAAAAGCTGCAGATAAGACGCACAGCAGAAGCTGTTTAACATTTTGTGAACTTGGTTTTCGGTAAAAGATTTAAACATCTAATGAGGTTAACTTCAGCCGAGATACCAGTAAACACTGATGACGATGCTACTCGAACCATGTTCTCACACTCTCTCTCTCTCACTCACACACTCACACACACACACACACACACACACACACACACACACACACACACACACACACACACACACACACACACACACACACACACACACACACCTTGCAGCAGATAGAGAGCCAGCAGTAAGAGGTAGATGGTTCTGGAGGTAACCTGGATCCACCATCGATAAAAGAACGGGAAGAAGACGACTCTGACGATGCCTTTCCGGGTCAGGGACGTCCACGGACTATCTGGTTTGGCCTTGGCAAACGCTGAACCTGCGGAGGAAGAGAACAAAATACACACACACTTAGTTTCTGGCTTAATTAGTTAATTATTTTTTCATTTCTGCAGATCCATCCCCCTCTTTCTATTCATCCTCTCTCCTGTGTGTGTGTTTTATGTTCTGTATCTTTTAGCTTTTGCAGAAAGCCTCTGAGGTATCTAATCTAATTAGCTTGATGGAAAGGAAGTTTGCACACACAAAATATTTTCTCACCTCTAACCAAATCCACATCTATAAGGTCTGGTTTGACATGTCCTGTCTTCTTTGGCTTATTCCTAAAGCCCTGCAGGGGGAGACAGAGCAACACGGAGTCAACGCCAGACAAGGAAAGAAACAGAGAAACACATTATTAATGTACATAGAAACACACACACAGGAACTCAACTACAGGAGGCTTCTCATGCACTTTATGCCTTCATACACACACCCACACTACACCACACACACACACACCATCAGTGTTTGAGGAGGCACACCGTGCATTGAGGCTCACACGGCTAATGGCTCTGACTTCACTGCATTAACATCTACTCGCACATCTACAAGATTTAACTCGGCACGACCTGGAAAGAGGTTTTATATACATTAAAGCATTGAGTCGGTCTAAATGTTCATTCATCTCACTGAGGTAAAGTTATAGCTTTAAAGTTGGTGCTTTGTGCAGTTTATGAGCCTGAGAGTAAAACTCCCCTGTAGCACACTGGCTTCCTGTGCCAACCAGTCACTTCCTCCTATAATGGATATTACACTCTCTGTGTGTGTGTGTGTGTGCGTGTGTGTGTGTCACTGCTGGGTCAGCTGTGATGACAAACTGTACTGAAACTTTATGAGCAGCTGTAAATTATGTAATTGACATGCTATTTGGTGCAAGGACTGCCTTTCAGTCAGCGACAGCAGAAAATAATAAATACAAATGAACAATTAAGTGTGTGTGTGTGTGTGTGTGTACACTTTTACAGCTATCTTTGTAAGGACCAATTTGAGTTTTAGACCAGTCCTCACTTTGAAACAGACCTTCAAAGGCCTGTCTGAGGGTTTAGACCTGGATTCAAGGTTCAGGTTAGAGTTAGTTTTAGGTTGGGGGTCAGGCATTGAGTTTAATTTGCCTTAATTTGAGCGCAGAGGAAGAGACGGGACAGGGAGAGGGGACGACGTGCAGCGAAGGGCCACGGGTCGAATCTGAACCCGAACCCGGGCCGCCTACCAGGTCACCCAGACATTTAGTCCTGACGGTTCGGGTAAGAGTAAGGGGCGTTAATGCATCATGTCAATGAGTGTCCTGACAAAGATAGAAGTACAAGGTTGTGTGTGTAAGTGTGTGTGTGTGTGTGGTTAACTACAACAATGCCCGAGTTACTATGAGCAGCCTGACAATAGCTTGGTTTTGATGAGGTTTCTTATCAATGGCTCCGAGTAAACAGAGACATGACCACAGTGCTGTGTATTGTACAACATGTGAACACACACACCCCCTTGTACTTCTATCTTGACCAGTCAAAATTCCCTTTTAGACGACACTATTTAGGCGATTTTCATAACCTAGTCTTGTGTTTAATCATTTAACATTCATATTGAATAAAGCAAGCTATCGAAGAACATCTTTTGAGTATCGGCACCCAACATTAAAGACAAAAACCTTTCAATCAATACTCTGCTCTACTCGAAGGCACATTTTTCAACACTTTACATTTTCAGGATGTAAGTCTCATTCAACAGGACCGTGAAATGACACAAATCTGTCCACTTGGATCGGACTGGCTCATTCTAATATTTACATACAGGCCAATCAGGTCTTGTGTTATCAGTAAATGGCTTGATGGGGGCCCTTATCTTCAAATAGCCCAACCAGCAAGCTATTATGCAGTGTGTGCGTGTGCGCAGGGCTAAAAGAAGCCGATCAATAGCTTCCTCTTGGCAGTAGCTTTACCGCAGCATTAAAGTCCTTCACAAATATCTCGCCTGGCCACAGCTCTTATCTCTGAGAGACTCAGAGTCTCTTATCTTTATAAACTACTTTCTCCTCCAGTTACAAGCTGTGATGTTGCCTCGGTGACCTGGTCCAACATGCATGAATGTCATTCATTATCAAGGAAACAGCACACATTTTAAAATGTATTTCAACAATGAAAATACGAACACAAACCCAGCAGGCTATGCTGTAGTTTCAAGGTTTATACCAGCGGGTGGCGACTGGTTTTCCTCAGCAGAGCTGTCTGTTATTAGACATCTATTGTGCTTTTGCAAATTAACACTGTACATTGTTTTTAAGAAATTAAAAATAGTAATCTACAGCATGATAAAGACAGCTGTATCCTCCACGAGATTAAAAGGACAACTTGGTTATCTACATTTTCTATGAGGCTATAAACATTACGATAAACAGTTCACACTGTGTATCTATGCAAAGATAAACTCTGCGCTGTCTGCTGCCGATACAATCTGAGAAACCAATTACTCGAGAGATGAAGAACCAAGGTCGCAGCCTAGTGTTTTATGTGTGTGTGGACTTTGAGCTCATCAAAGACAATGTCTCTCACCGCCGTTTACAGGACAAGAGGTACAGTAGGAAGGAAGGAGGAGGTAGACGTACGGGGACAGAAAGCAGATATTGCTATTCAGAGGCCATCTTTATACAGATGTACACATTGAAGATCTCCTGTCACAATTATTCATTTAAAAACAACTAAACTAAATGTAACCCTGCCCTAAAAATACAGAAGCCTACATCAGGTACTCGGACCCAAATTTGAGAATGTTGGTTAAAAGAAAATCTCTTGTTCTATCTGAGAAGGGAGGGATTTAGAGGTGAGATGTCACAGCAGACAGGTGAAGAGGCTCTAGTTTCCACAGCTCTGGACTAAAAGCTTCAAGCCGTGCATACACACAACTCTGTCCCATAAACCTCTCATTTAAACCCACAAAGTAATATCATGGAGCACTGCACATGGGGGTAATTATTATGTATCGTACTCCACAAGAGCCAAACAACTCTGACGGCCGAGTTGTATTTTGGGTAATGTCTGCAGGTGGAGTTCTCTTTTCAGAAAGTGGCGGCTATGGAAGAAAACCACCTCTTAAAACTGAACGTAAAAGTGACACAAAGAGAATCTTGTTTTCCCGTTTCCATTGATAATACCTCTCTGCAGTGTCTCCACTTCCTACTACTTCCCTGTTCCTGGTTTAACCTGCTTACATACGACAGTTTGAAAAATCATAGCGCTTAAGATCCCAACAAAAAGCCACAATTGTGTAGATAATTAATATATGCCTTATTTTGTAGTGTTGCTGTATTATGATATGATACATTGTTATGTGTTAATGTCGGATTCAACAGAATAAAATATGATAATTAAACAAGGAAGACGAGGGAGCAAATGCACATGTCTGCTCACTAGAAGCTGGGAATGTACCTCCCTACCTCAGTTTGTTTTGTCTATTCCCGGAGGAACACAGCGCTGACACACAGAAATGCAGCCATATAACCCTGAAATAACAGCTTTGTCTTACGTCAATCTTTAAATTTGTGCTGACCTTCACGTCTGCATTGTTGCAGTTCTTTACACCCTAAAACTGCCACCCTGACCACGTGACTCATGCTAATCCGTCTGTGTGCTCAGTTCCCTTAATTGTCTGGCTGCAGCTTAAAAAAATAAAAAAAATTAAAAAAAAAGACAAGTTCTTCCTGCAGCCAATCACGAAGCAGTGTTGCTACAGTGTGACTGCAGAGTGGGGGTTAATAAACACATGGCGACTGAAATGAGCGATCAAACCAACCAATCACGGTCTAGCTGGCTACAGCGTGGGAAGCAGGTGTGCACTGTGGGACAACAAGAGGGACGTCCTCCCCCGCTGTATACTCACCAGAGAAATAAACTGCAGAGAGAAAGAGGAAAAGACGGATGGAAGAAGAGGGGGATGGAGATGAAGAGAGGAGAGATGGGCACGTGGACACCCAGCCGGGAGGGCAGAGAGGAGAGTGTTAAAAAGAAATCATTGGAAAAAGAACTGGCAGCATGGTGAGAGACAGCAAAGGCAATAAAATGAAGAAGAGGGAGGAAGATGGAAGAGTGAGAGTCAAAGAGGAGACGAGAACAACTTGACAAAAAGGGAGCCAGAAGAGATAGAGGATGAGGAGAGACTTAGACGAAGCAGAGCACAGAAAGAAAAACAAACAGGAAGATGACGAAAAAGAAAAGAAAGCCAACAATGAAAGAAACATACCTTTATTTCCCGCTGCTCCACTGACTTCTCCCATATCTGTTGGTCATAGGCGCCAATCTGGAAGAGCAGACGAGAGGAATGATTACTGGTGAGTTGGGGAGAGAAGAGCAACAGAAGGTTCTAGTTTCCAGATGCACACGTCATCGTCTAGAAGTAATGCTCCGAACCACAATAAAAGGTTTTCTTAGACGCAGCACAAAGCTTCACTTCCCTTTAATAAAGGGATTGACGTATAATTAAAAAAGTTAAAATCAAAGTGAACTGCCAACGCCCCGTAGCCGCATCATTATTTCAAGACGGATTATATCCCCATATTCAGTATTGTTATGAGTCGGCAGGAACAGATCATTATGGTTGGCGTCGTGTTTGGGAGTTCAGGATTTTAAAGCTCTTGCTTCACATCTGGAGCCGTCGTGATCTCATAAAACAAGTTGGATATTTACAACCGTGTCACTACATGACTGGTGATGAATCATTTCACCACAAATTAGGATTTTAACTTATCAGTGTTTATTGTTACCGAATTTTTTAAATTAACCCCTTAAACCCAGTTTTTTTCCACACAATACACTCGTTAAGTAGCTTATTAAAAATCCTATTGTGCTGCAACCTTTGACAATATTACATATTCGGTATCAACTTGTTATAAGCCGTCAGTGAAACTACAATTACAATGTCAACACCGAGTTAAATATTCAACCCGTGACTCAATGGTTTTATAGTCTGGATGTCTAGTGTATCATTTTATACACATTTCCCCAAAATGCCGTCTGATCATTTTGTGACTTTCTGAAAAAGAACAAGAAGAACTGCTGAGTAGAACACATCTGACACACAATCAGCACAGTGTTATCTACAGTAAGCCTTCTTTCACAGTCACCTCTCCGTCTCTACGTCACGCTTTGTCTCTAAAGTTGAGTCAAGAACCTGTGAAAGTGGTCCAATAGAGTCATGGTCGACTGGAAGAAGAGAAACCCTCTCTGACAGTATGATCTCCCCACACACACACACACACACACACACACACACACACACGCGGTGAAGGGGGAAATGAGACTCTGGAGAAATGCATGCAGCACCACCTCTCACTGTCACAGAGATCAATAGACCTGCAGAGAGTGTGTGTGTGTATGAGGCTAGTAGAGTGGTTACTACACACTTATGCAGAGTGTGTTTTGATGAGCGCAGTACAACACAGAGATGGACCGTTATCGTGGGGAATAGATGGATCTGTACCTAGTCCAGATGTCGAGCCCCGAGGACGCACAAAACAAACGCACTCCCAAGATCAGACGGTGCCAATTTCAGCACGCCAGTGGAAAGTCTGCATGTTTAATGAGACGTCATTAAACATGGTTAGAACGAGAAGAAGAGGAAAAGGGAGGTCAAAGACGAGCAAAGAAGAACATGAAGAGAGACGGAATAAAGGGTGGAGAGAAGAGAAAGTGTTCATGATGTCATTTAAAAGGCTTCTTTTATAAATATCTTTATATCTCTCTCTATAATAAGTGTTTGTGCCTTTACTCAAATAGCCCAGACGACTATTTAAGTTCATCCGTTTCCACGTCATTGAGACAGAGTTAGCAAAATTGGAACTCAAACACACACCGGAATATATCAGGCCTTTGATTAGCCATTTCTTGTAAAATTGACATTATCATATCATCTACAATACCGAAAAAAGATACCACACATTAAAGCTCTCAGTGTTATTATAAGTACTATTTCTGCTACAGGAATGAACAGCTGATCTATGAGCTATGACCCCAAATGTACTTCTTTTAGTGCCGCGATACGTTCTGTTCGTTCAGCAAAATAACTTGTAATATAAAAATATGACAATCTGACTGGGACTTATTGACAAACGTGGGTCCCAAGGCTCCACCAGTTGTGAACAAATGGGATATTCTCGGCACCGGAGAGCATTAAATCTGACGTCCGTCTGACTGATTATCTGTCATTTGGGCCGGCTAATTTTCCACATCATTCAACCTATTAAAAAAATACACACACACACTGGAGTGTATGCGGTGGACAGCCAGAGGGCAAACATGAGCAGACTACGCAGCAGGAAGATGAAGAAGCAGAGAGGGAGAATATAAAGGAGGAGGGCAGCTATGGATAGAGGAGTCATTCTCAGACACGTACAAATCCCTCGTTACATCGTGGCGTGATGCCGTAACTGAGATCTGACCGAGTGGAATTAACACTGGAGATCCTCTTATCCACACACACAGTCTTTGAATGATGAAAACTAAAAAAATCTAAATTGAATAAAAGATTGCAGCTGATTGGTAACTGACGGGAGTTAAACATTCTTGATCTCAGTCAAACGGCAAACTGATTTCATTGAGAAAAATCTGACTTCTGCGATTTGACAAGCAAATCAAGTGCAGAGAGAGAGAGAGAGGGAACCAGAAGGGAAGGAGACGAGGACAAGTGTGCCGCTGCGGCAGTGCTGGGGTCACCATGACGACGGATGGAGGAGGGGGGGGGAGACAGAGGGAGGGCGGGAGGGGGATTATGTCGGCGAAGCAACAGAGTTATATAACAACTGCCTCTGCAATGGAGGGCGTCTCTCTCACAGAGATGCTGGTTTGAAGAGGTTTGTTTTGAAGCGCGTCTCCAGCAGATGATCACAAGATCAACATGTTATCACTCGTTAATGTTCGTGTATCAGTGACAATCATTTCCATTCAACTGCTCTATGTTATTGTAGATGAGCTGGGGTTCAAACCTTCCAGTTAACCACAAACTGGATTATCAGATACTAGTGGCGCATGTTGCCTTTTAAACCCCCCCACACACACAGTCTTGAGTGTTGACTTTAAAGCTGCTACACAATGGATCAAAAAGGGTCGTTAAAAAAAAAAAAAAAAAAAAAAAAAAAGTGCAACTCGTAGTGACAAATCAATAGAGAATCATCACCCAGCTCTGCTCATTGTTTTGGTTTCAAAGCGCACGACTTCATTATTTCGGTTCAGTCTCTTGCTCTCGCACCTGTTATTTCCAGTCACAGCAGGGATTTTTTTGTACACACTTTATAAACCTTGGTACTCTCCACTGTGGACCAGGCTGTGATGGAAAATGCCTCAGCTGCTCGGGGAGTCACCTATGTGCACATGTCAGTTGAGGTGGGGTGAGCTTTGGCACTATAAGAAACGCACAGAGCTAGCTGGTGTGTGTACAAGGATACTCTCATTTTAGAGCGGAATGTGTAAATGACTGAATGAATGAATGAATCAAATGTTACATTTCAAAACTCTGGATTATTTTCATTATCCGTCCATTTGTCTTTTTAGATGAGTCATTCACTCAAGATATTCAGTTTACAGAGATACAGGATATGATGTTTAACAAACTGGATATCAAAATTAATGACAGTTGACTTATCAATTAATCAACAAATAATTTCACCCCAAATCCCCAAAACTACGTGCTAATCTTCATCAGTTTTAAATTTATTTTTTTATATATGAACCTCAAAATTGCCATCAAAGATGGTGTCATTAAATCTGTGATCTCCTACGAGGACGGAAGAAAGAAACAGTAAAGGTGTGAATGAAGTGAAGACTCAAAAAAAGGATGAAATGACTGGAGACCTGTTTGGGTCAGACAGCTGGTTGTGGCGGCAGATTAACCCTCTGCTGCGTTTTCATGTGTGACCGTGTGTGTGTGTAAAGTCTATTTTAAGCTCAGACAGGTGTGTGTGTCAGGTTGAAAAATCCCTCCACTCGCTTAAACGTAGAGGCTGGAAACAATAACAATAGAAGAAAGACATGTATAGGAAGGTGGAACGAGCCAATTTCTGTTCCTTTTATGCTTCAAAAGTGATTGAAACAATTGAAATTAAATTATCAAAACAGTTGATATTCATTTTCTGTTCATCTACTAATTGTTTAAGGTCCAATATTACTATTAATAACTGGAAGATTAGAGCAGATGAATAAGAGTCGACCTCAGCACTTTATGCCTGTTTTGTCTGGAAAGCTGAAGAAAAGTCCAATAACTGTGGGTGCATTATCCAGATTAACAGACATGTTTTGAGGTGAAAGAAAGACAGCTTTTGATACAATAAATGTTATATAAATAACACAGGAAGCTACTTGATAGATCATGTGTTGTCTCTCTAAATACAGTCATGTCCTCCATACACAGACTCTTCACACCGAGACTTAACGTCCACAGATCTCGCCCACATACCAAGGATATGAATTAAAGGTGCTTATGTCCTAAAAAAAGGCCTTAAAGCCCACACAGGAATAAACTATAAGCCGATGTATTTAAGCTCAAATATATCACCGACATGCACACAGGAAGCTGGCAACACTAGACTATTAGTAAGCAATGTGTGTCAGACATTTAGAAAAACAAAAAACATGCATGTCTGTCTGGTGCTGTAGCTGATCTAGACTGCATGGCACCGTGGTGGGAATAAAACACAACACAGTCTATATGCAGCCGGTCTGCAGGAATAGCGCAGTCAGGAATATACTGTGAGTCATAGGAGCGTGTAGGCTGGAGAGAAGAGGATCTCTGCAATGTCTTCAGGTCAGTGGGACTTCAGGTCTCATTACAGCGCGTTGTTGACAACGTACAAAAAGAAACCTGCCCCATCGGTTTGAGACTTTTCTACCATAGTTCTAGTTTCTTAATGCTAAACTCTCCTGCTCGCTCTCTCTCTCTCAATCACGTGTTTGGCATGAACTTGACGGAATTTTTTAGAGCTGCAATGGACCCGCCTTAACCCGTCGAGGCTCGTCTACCTGCAGCGTTTTGGTCAGCCCGTTAATAGTTAGCAGGGAGACAATATTTGAACCATTGGAACAAAATCATCCTGTCCTGTTGACTCAAACAGCACAGACCTGAAAGCTCCGGTTATGACGTCTAGCAGAGAAAGTGTGTTCTAAAAACACAGAACTTTACTCTGAGAGAGACGTCAGAGACAAAGGCGCCCTGAGGACAGCCAGACAGGTGCCATCTGCTCATTAGAAAAGCTTTTCTCACAGTCATGACTCAGCGGTTGTAATCACTGGTGCGTCTCTGTCCAGACAAGCTGAGCTAGATGCACACACACAAGACACACAATCAAGATTTATCAAAACCAATTAAGAGAAAACATTGATTTTCTGTTTTAGATCTTGGACTAATATTACGGATCTGCAGAGCTGAACAGGTCTAATTAAAAACTTTACCTGCAATTAAATTCAGGACTTCTTTAAGAACCATAATAAAGACGCAAAGCTGAGAAAACCTGCTATTTTCAATTGACAATAGTTGTTTGTCTCGAGCAGACAGCCGTGTTTAAGAGTTCAGACCTTTAATTAGAGGCTCTAACTTCTCATACAAGTCATCTTCAGAGCTGTCCGATTCCAGTGAAAGCTTAAGTTGACGTCCACGTCTGCCAGGTGCAAGCGAAAGATCAGAGAGCAACAGGTTGTGATGACGGGACAAAAAAAGAGGTCGAGGAGGAATAACAACAACGGACGAGCAGAAGAGGCCTGAGAAGAGACAGACGGGGTCGTGACGGACAGACAGGTTTGTGGGGACAGACGGGTTGTGTGGGGACAGACGGGTTGTGTAAGCCGAGAGCTGCAGGGGGAGCAGCGCTGGAGTCCAGCAGAGGATCTGATATCTGAGACCATGGAACAAGAAGACACACAACACCGGCCTGGTTTCACACTGTGCCGAGCGGACCGACTCCGCTGCTGCTGACAGCGCCGAGGAGGTCGCTGCCAAAATAGTCAGAAAGAGTCTGCACACAAAAATGTAATGACTTTTTTTATTTTTTGTAACTCTATATCTTGCCGTGTTAAGAAAAATGAACAAATGTTTCAGCTACAATGATTTAAACAGAACTGGAGGCAGATCTGTGTGACCTAAGTTCCATATTTAGGTCATGACAACAGAGCAAACTCCAAAACTATGAGATGCAGCTGAAAGTTGACTTTGTTCATGCAAAGACAACATTGACAGATGAAGGATTTTTCAACAGCTTTTTAAACTTGTCCAATGTGGCTCCCTAGTGACACTTTATTTCCCAAAGCATAGATGCAAAATACTAAACAGAACATAGGTTGCAAAAATACCACTGCCACAGATATTTCAATATCGCTTTCTTGGTTTGTGAAAGGCAAAAACAAAAACAAGCAAGCATGCCAATGCAAAAACAAAAAAATTTAAAAAAAAAGTACAGCGTCTTACCTTTTTCTGGTACCACACCACAGCATCTTTTACTTTGGAAGCCATTTACATTCCCCTTCTCCCCGCCTAGGGCATCTTAGACTGGAAACACAACACAGAGGGAGAGAGCAGTGTGAGTAATGAGGAGCGCGAGAGGAGGACTGAGGTCTATATACCTGGTAGGAAGGTGTGTCCAACTGATGAAGGAGAGAGGGAGGGGATGACCCCCCCCCCCCTCCCACACACACGCACTAGTATTAATAAGGCCAGCCATCTCCCTTGACACCCATCTTACAGAAACAAAAACTGTCTTTCTATTAGCCGACCTGGTTGTTTCCACTGAATCACATTGTGACACAAAATTACAAAATGATGTGATGAATAAAATACAACAAATATACGAGGAACAAAAATGAAGCCTTGTGTTTTCAAATCAGTTGATCGTCGATAACTGCATCACCGACGGGAGGTTCACGTGACAGAGCCGGTGTGCAGAGTGTACATTGGGCCTGCAGCGTGTCACTGTTACAGTCCGAGTGTGATTACACTAAGATGTCTTTGAAACAGAATCCTCTGCTGATGTGAGCTCGTTTGTTATGGTTAAAAAAAAAGGAACCAGAGCAGACGGAGTTTTAACTGGATCCACTTTAACAAAACCTGAGCTTCAAATTGCATTCGACACGGAGAACAGCAAACTCCCACTGCTTATGTGGGCTCAAACGTTACAATTAGAAACCTCTCACACGTGGGTGGAGGTGGAAGACGAGGAGCCAAACGTTTGGTTAATCAGAGACGCTGTAAAACATGGAGGCTTTGTGAGCTCTCTCTCTCCCTCTCTCCCCCTCTCTCCAGCAGTGGGAGTGATGGAGGGGCAGATCGATGGAGGTCCAAGGGCAGCAGCTTACCGGTTCCCCCTTTGGCTTCGTCAGTTATCAGGAGATAACACAACTCAACACATTTTTGACATTTTCTTTTCTCTTATTCGTTGAGCTTTCCACTCAGAGTTTGAACCTTAAAGAGTAAAGACGTCCTGCTGTGCATGTGAAGACTCGTCGGGTAGTCAATCCCTCACATTTGCATCTCCAGTGAATTATGAGTCACCCTTTTCCTTCTAATATCTGTGTGCTTAGAAGAGCCGCTACTCTATTTTTCAAAATAAAGCCAATTGTGTGGCCATCTGCAGTCTGTGCTGCACTTTACTTTGAAAGAAAACGTGAGGGAGGGTCATAATACTGGACCGTTAAGTCAGCTCCGCAGCTTATCTGACAACAAGCGAACCGCAACACTTTAAGTATTTATAAGTCGCCGCCACAAACAAAAAGAAGAGTATTAACTGCAAGTGTGTCACTGTCCTTGTGTTCAAAGCCGCACGCGAGCTCGGCGTGTCAAGAATGTGAGAATGTGAAGCTCAGCAGCAGGAAGGAGAGAGAAAAATGTCTGCTGTGAGCCAAGTGTGAACCTCTTTAACGTCGAGCACGGAAGTCTGCCTGTGTATCAACTAAACACACCCACAGACGGTAAAGCACCAGCTGATCAACGCACAAAACTCTAAAAATCCCTGTATCGCTAAATGCTGCATGCACGCTGCTCATGAGGTTGCAGAGTCGCGAGTGCATTTCTTCCTCTGTGTGTGTGTGTGTGTGTGTGTGTGTGTGTGTGCACACTTTTGCCCAAGAAGGCCAGAGACATTTTTAGCAACAGGAAGAGAGTATATTGCTCGTCGTCTACGATTACGATCATCCCTCCTTCCTCTATCTTTCACTGCTGAACATCTCCATTCTTCACATATTATGCACTTGTTTTTTGCGGTTACTCATAAAGCATATTTAGTTCAACTTAACAGGGGGATGCTGGTATGCACTATGCTGGCTTGTCCTTTTTATGTGCAGTGGTTACACAAGTTAATTGGTTTACAGTGTCAATAGAGGCCTTCATGTTAAAACTTTTGGAGAGACGGAGATAGAGGCCATAGAGGCGGTGAAAGAAAGGGAAAATGGACAGACCAAGAAAAAGGGAGGAAGAAGGAGGATGTATGTAAAGACCAAACCCCGTATGAAGGGTGAGGAAGCAAGAAACGTTTCCTTTCCTTCCTTTGTTCACATAAACACGAGAGACAGAAAGAGTTTACCTCTCATTCACACTGGAGAGTAACCCAACCATCACACATTCACAAGCTTTTTTTTGCTGCTCTGAAAAAAGATTCAAACTTTTCGCAATAAGCAAGAAATTAAAAATATTAGTGTCATAGGACTTGTGTTGGCTAGCTTACACATCAGAGGAAGAGAGCAGCTTGTAATGAGATCAAACTAATGTCGCTGATGAAACCACATCAAAAAGATGCGTCGGTGTCCAAATACTGCAGAGCAACGACTGCTGCTTTGAAGAGATTGCACAACAATCATAAGCATGACCAGAGAGAGAAGAAGAAAACAGACATTCATCCAGACAGACAAACCAAAAAGAGCTACACCCCGTCATTAGTGGAGCAATGTTTTCTGTTTTTAACTCTCTAAGACTCTCAGGCAGCTTTAAGGCTTCACATCCTCACCACGCAGAGACACGGTGGGAAAGAAAACAGGCAGATCGTCCCCGTTCAAAGCCTCAAAGTCCTCATCGGCACTAACTCACACACGTCGCATACTATTGCCTAATGTGACTTCATACACAGGATTAGCTGTAATGCGCTGGAGTGTTATTTATGCTGGAAAACATCAGGAGGAAATAGGCTCGGTGAGTTCTTTTTCCAAAACCACACATTCACAGTGTTCCCAAAATACACTCTGGTTTGCTAAAGGAGTATTTAGGGAACGGAGCCGAGACAACAGACACACACAGCAGTTTTCTCTTCAACGCCTATGAATCCTGTGACAGACAGAGAAAAATACAGATATATATATATATATATATATATATATATAATGTCTAGGAGAACCTCCTAGATTTGAGGCTACATTTCTGACCCCAAATCATATATTTTAAAACGGTTTTAATGAATTCCTCTCCAGTTCATTTTCATACCGATTACTCTGCTCACGGCAAACTCGCATCAACAAGAAAGCTTCACAAACGCACGGCCATTACAAAGCTCTCAAAGAATTCAGTGAGCACACCAACACACGCACGCACGCACGCACACACACGGTCTGCAGCCATCAGGCTGCCCTGTCTGAACTGACCCATTTACAGAAAGAGGTCAACTAAGACAGTGTGTATTATGAAGGCCACAGTTTATATGAGGACTCTTTTTGTGACCGTGCGTGTGTGTGTCTTCATGGGGGGGGGGGGGGGGAAGAGAAAAGAGAATATAAAAAGCGAGCGAGACGTAGAAGACAGGGCTCAGCCGCCTCCAATAGATGGACTATTTGTGTTGCATATTATATCACAGGGTGTCTATAGTTGAGTTCAATACAAAATGTTTCATATCTGGATTGTGTTTGTGAAGCTGAGCTCCCTCATATTGGAAACATTCTTTTGGTAAATAAAAAAACAAAAAACAGGTTATTTCCTGAAGCTAGATGGTTTGTTGGGAGCATCAGATAACACTCAGCCCAGTGTTCAAATAGAGCAGGAAGTCATTTTAGAGCGCAGACACTAACTAAAGCACCGTGGGGACAGACTGGCAGTTTGCAGACTCTCCTGTTCTGCCTTCATTATATTGGATAAGTCACCGTTTTCAGCATTTGAATGACATAAGAGCCGCCTGGCCTCCGTTTAACCTTTAGACACTTCTTACACCCAATCACAGCTCTTGGTTTTCACCGCTGTGTTTCCGAGTGTGCTCGAGTAAACATCACCTCTCTGACGGGCCAAATGAACCTCCGACGACTATAAAAAGGAATCTATAAAAAGGAATCTATAAAAAGGCCGACGGTGGTGCCTTCAAATTCCTCCAAGTTCGTGTTCGACTAACAAACCCAAAGATATTCAGTTTATTATCATATGTTGAAAGAAATTAAGCAAAATTCTTATTTTTCACTTTTAAAATAATCTAAAACTTTGAGTCTATTGGGATTTTCCAGCCACACAAACACACACATGCACAAAATCACGACACTAAATGGGTGTCGAGAGGGAGGGCGGGGTGAGTGTGTGTGTGTGTTTGTGTGTCTCATGGAAAGTAGGTGTGTATGTGGAAGTCATGCCATGTTTTTTTTTCTCCTCATTTCATTGAATAAGGTAATTGGTTACGCAAGCTGCCACCCGTGCCAGACATTTTAATCCGACACCTCACAGCTACTCTCTCTCTCTCACACACACACACACACACACACACGCTCTCAATTCTTAATGTCTCACATTATTGCAAATGACTCGGATTGGTTTCCTGTAACCGGTTACATTTTGCTCTCGGTTCCAAGTTGTTAAAACACCTCATTTGTGAAGCTCCGACTACAACGTAGCTCTCATTAAATATTTTATGTGCTCTCTTCTTCTTTATTAAGAAAAAGCACAAGTCACGAAACATTCCGGCAGTCAAGAGCGCCTCCACCAATGTCAGAAGAAATTATTACAACGTTTATGAAATATCATTTAAGGGTTATTAAGCCCTGGGAAAAACATTTGTAATGACTGAAGTGTCTGTTTAAATAACGCGACACCGTTTCTGTGGAAGTATCTTAAGTCGAGCAGAGCAGAGGAGCAACACGTTAAGGTCGGTATGCTTCCTAAACCTTGTGATGTGCAACTACATACGCTCCTTCGTCATCGGAGGTTTTAACATCACGTGACAGGCTTCATGTGCTCTCTATATGGAAGCAGGGGGCTCTCACCGTCTGCTGACAGCCCCCACTCACAGTGAACGGGTGGGCGACCTTATAAATCTAACAGAAAACCATCACTGTGGCTTCATCCATGGAAGCGGCTAAATTTAGCCTTAAAAAAAAAAAAAAAGAAGCAGAACTTGGCAGTTTAGATGTAAACTGAGCTTGAAGCAAATACTGCAGGAAGGTCCTCGGACGCTGATCTCCATCAGAGGAAAGCTGTTTCACACCGACCAATGACAGAGTAGCACTTTTTACGCAGAACGTCAGAATAGAGAAGACTCCTCTTCTTCTGCTGCTTTTCTATCAGTGTAGTGTTTCTCTGGGATGTCTAATGAAAACATGAGAGGACAAGAGGAGACCTCCATGAGTCTGGTAACTCGTGATGTGTAACACAAGCTGCTCTCTCTCTCCCTCTCTCTCTGGGTGCTCCATATTTCATGATGGGTGCAGGTTACATCTCTGAGTTGGGCCAGAGGGGGGAGGGCGTGAGTGTGTGTTTAAGTAAGTGAGTGTTTGTGACGCTGCTCAATCGACGGTGAAGGGTCGGAGGTGCTCTGAGAGTGTGTGTGTGTGTGAAGCAGAGGGGTGGTGGGAGATGGGGGGGGGGGGGGGGGTCAGGTTTTCCATCTTGTAGGTGGAATCCCTGACAATCTCAACTGACACTACACTTGACCTATACAGGGCTTGATGATCATATAGCAACAGCACACACACACCATCACGCAATGAGGAGTAAAGCATGAAATGATCTTCAGTCTTTAATCTCATTGAAAATCACAAACAGCCTTTTCTCTTCAGGGAGACCGTCTCAAAACGTCCCAGTTAAAGATCAAATCAATCATCTTATGTATATAATAATTAAATCATGTTTCTATCTATCTGTGTATCATTCGGAGGTTTTTATCAAATTTGGGACAATAGAATAGAATCCAATGCATTTCTGGAAACACTGAGTCACATCAATACAGACGCAGAACAAGAAAAAGCCTTGGCTCTCACGCTCCCCTCAGAGGGGCAGTATGGCCTTTTCCACATTCTCCTGTTTTTCAATCAATCTTTCTCACGCAGACATAATAAACAGTACTCATGAACTACTGTGTCTGTGTGTGTGTGTGTGTGTGTGTGTGTGTGTGTGTGTGGGGGGGGGGGGGCAGCTGACACCCTCTCAGCAACAAAACATAAGTTGAGGCATGTGGCGCTCATACAAAAACTGACTATGTGGGATTTAATGTGGGGGGGGGGGGGGGTACAAAATAGTAAACACACACTGTCTGTCTGTCTGTCTGTCTCTCTCACACACACACACACACACACACAGGACTCACCTCTTGTCAGGCCGCGTAGCCGACTGGTGTTTTGTCCTCACAGCCAAATCAGGACAGGAGCTGGACATTTGGAAAATAGGGAGAGAGAGAGAGAGATGGTCAAGACTTTGTGGGAAAGACCACGTTTGAGATTCAAAGCAATGACTGCGTGTGTCGCACACAGATGAAAACATGTCATTCAAGAGACATAACTACAACTTCATCCTGTTTGAAAAGGGGGTTCCAGTGTGTGTGCAAGTAGACTTTGACGAGGTTGCACATTGAAGCTTCAGAACAGCATGTCTCTTGCTGAGCTACACACACACACACACACGTTGCCTCTAGACACAGTATGAATTCTCAGAAACATTAATGAACAACATCAGGCAGCAAAGAATCCCAACAGTCGACCTTTTCGAACAATGTAGCTCTTGTGGATAGTCAGAAAATTAACCGGCATCACAGTGGTGTATAAAGTACCCAAAAGCCATACTTGAGTAAAAGTAAAGATACCTTACTGGAAAATTACTCCAGTAAAAGTAAAAGTCACCTATTAGAATACTACTTGAGTAAAAGTCCTAAAGTATCTGACATTAAATGTACTTAAGTATTGAAAGTAAAAGTACAAGTAAATGCTGTTAATAAAAAAAGCAAAGGGTCAGAATTTTGAGAATTATGAAGTTTATTATTTTAAGTGCTGTGGCACCGTGACCAAGGAGCTGTGTTGAAAATAATTGGGTTGGCTGTGATCCATCCAGGAGCAACAATGTTCAATAATATATTGTACATAATATACTTTTGCATCTGCTATGAACTTATCATCATAATTCTCAGAATTCTGCGTTTATAAGTATGCTCATTCCAACTAGAGGATGTAGAGGGCAAATGCATAATATTATGTTCAGCAAAAAATATCCACTTGATGCATCAGGTCAGTGTTGTGAGAAAGGACACCTGCCTTGTAAACTCCTACGGGCCTGATTTGAACACAATAGGCAAAGGTTTTGCTCAAGCTGAATCTGCTACCATCATAACTCCATCTGATCATCCACAAAATGACTCAAATATCAAAACATGATCGATACTAAAGCAGCAACCCAGTGATTACTTGAAACTGAAAAATGTCCTGTTCATCTTCAAAAGGCAATTCTACTAGAATGTAGCTTCTTTACATTCTATTAGAATGTAGCTTCTTTACATTCTATTAGAATGTAAAGAAGTTAGTCTGATACAATGTAGCTTCTTTACATTCTATTAGAATGTAAAGAAGCTACATTGTATAGAACGATTCTATTGAAGTTATTCCTTTTTTAAATGCTTTAGACGAGTCACTAATCACTTTAAAAGAGTGATATACAGACATGAGATTGATCTTCTCATGTCACTCTCTTTATACAATGATATTAATTCATCCCCGTTTTATTGATATCTTACGAAAAGTTACTCCTCATTTTTCGTGCGTTTTTCCTGCAAAAGTCCAGCAACATGAGTCTGTTTTCGCTTGTTACGCGCATACTGTCTTTCCAAAATAAACTTCCATCTTCACAGGAAACAACTAAGGTTTAGGCGATGAAACTACTTAGTTAGGTTGAGGAAAAGATCGTGGTTTGCGTTAAAATATCTACGGAAGTGGCGTTGCTTAAGTACGGAAGTCACGTCACAAATAAATCAACATTGGCTTCTCGTTTCACGCACGGAACAAACTGCGGCCTCCTGGAGGAAACACCAGTGTTTGTTTGACCCATCCACCTCTCCTCATCCCACCCGTCCTGTGTGGAATTCTACTCGTGTTGTCGCTCGCTAGCTATAGCATATAGCATCCTGGGCATCACTGGGAATCTAAACACCGCGGCTTTGAGAGCACTTGTTTTGCGCATTAACGTGATTAACCAATGATTTAACTGATTCATCAAACCTGCTTGCTTGCAGTCTCTGTTCCACCACAGTCCCCGACGTTGGTCTCATGATTCATTTTGTTTCTAAAGATAGATTTGATTTTGTAGCGAGTAGCGAAGGTTTCAGGGGAAATGTATCGGAGTAAAAGTATCAGTTTTCTTTGCAAGATGTAGTGAAGTAAAAGTTAAAGTCAACAGAAATATAAATAGTAAAGTAAAGTACAGATATCCAAAAAAAGACTTAAGTACTACTATACACCACTGCTGCATCATCACTATCATCAACATGTCGTCTTTGTAGTCACCAATTATCCTTCACGTTTCCTGTTGATGACAGACTAACTAGGAGGGTAACTCAGTCACACTGCACTGTATATCTCCTTAAAGCTACAACGAGGAACTTTCATTTTGCCCCAAAGGACGAAAGCGGTTGAGTCTCTTTAAAAAAACTGGTCAATTTACTGCAGCAGGGTGCGACAGTCTGGCTCCACGCAGACCTGGTTCTGGTTCTCCCGGGCCTCCCTTCCCCCTCCAGCGGGCTCAGCAATACGGCCCCGGTTCTCCAGCAGCGTTGGTGTTGGTTCCCAGCACGTTGAGGCTGAATTTGAGGGGGGAAACCGTGGCTGATTTGGGTATTTTTTACTCTGCTGCGAGGTGCCAACCACTGCACCACCGTGATGCTTTACCCTCCCGTGACATGTCAAAATGTCGTCTGTGTGAAAAAGGCATCTCTCCACATGCTCGTCAGCAAACCACATTGAAGCATTTCTACAGTTAACAAGTGCAGAGTCAAACCAGCTGCTACAGATCCCCCATCCTATCTGTGACACTTGCTCTCATAGACTTAAACCTGAGCAGCAATGGCTCATCCGAACACAGCGCTCTCCGAGTTATCATTAACTCAACCAGTCAGTCCACTGCAGAGCTCGTAACGGGGCACTTCTCCACACCCAAACGGCTATATTTCTATGAAGTATATCGCTGTGCTGCAGGCCGTTCTGCAGCTATAATAATACAACACGATGTGGCGGTCCGTGTTGTGATGTAACTACAGTGCAGCGGGTGATGTGACCAGCTCTGCAGGCAGATTGAAGCTGCACAATGAACACAGCATCCTCAAAGAGACAGGCAGAAATAATGAGAGAGAGAGAGAGAATAAGTAAAAGAGAGACAGACTGGGAGAACAAAGACATACAAAGGAACACGCTGGTCAGACAACAGACTAAAGTCTGGCTCTATGGATGCTAGAACACACACACACACACACACACACACACACACACACACACACACACACACACACACACACACACACACACACACACACACACACACACACACACACACACAGCTGTGTTGACTGACAAGTGCTGGGCTGTCAATCAATGTCTCAAAGGCTATGTAGTCCCATCCACAAGTGGGTGTGTGCGTGCAGGTGCGCATTAGGGAATCCCAGGTCTGTAAAGTAACCCGCTGGATGCAACACAATGCCGGTCTTGTCCACATACTATAAGCAGCAGCAACGGTGATTTCATCTCCCGTCTATCGACAAGTCACAAACACACTACCTGTGTGCAGCTTCCTGCTGTTTCCCACTGAACTATACGACATAGGTGGCACCTCGTGGCGTGTTACATACCCGACTGAAATCAAATTAGTTTGCTTCATTGTTACAAAGCAGTGATATTCTTGAGTACATCTTGAAATCTTATGGTTACACAATGCTGGCACAAGTGTCTGATTTGCATACTTGACAGTATGCAGGTGACATGAAGGATTGGCTACAGCCCAAGCACAGTCTCGTCCAACAATTGCGACAGTAGACGGTTAGTTTCTGCTTGCGTCATTGTTTTAGAACTTGATTTACTAATCTAATACAGTGTGATCTGGGTTTTCTGCTCTTTCAGCCTGTATGGATATATTTTGTGTACAAACTACAGGTTTGATGGGAAAAAGTCATTTAAAGCTTTATATATTTGTCTGTCCCGGCTCTGCTGCACGTTAACATTATGGATTTGTACACAGAACGCAGTCAGAGTAGTGAGGACCGGTTTATTTAGGGGTGACATTACGATCGCAATGGAAAATGTGGGTGAGTGATGACAGCGTTAGTCGGACACGAGAACGGACGGGCTGGCTGGATGGCAAATCATGTTGGATAATCAAGTGACCTGCCAAACTGTGAGCCTGACCGCCTGAGACTGTTTCCCCCCCACTGCTACCTCAGGGACACAAGATAAGTAGAGGGAAAAATATATATATAATGTAATAGAGTAGAATCTAGACCTGAAATAACCTTAATCCATTAGTCGACTGACATAAAACCCATTATTTTAATAATTGATTTTGAAGGTAATGTTCTTCCGGTCTCTGAAATGTCCAGATGTATTGGTTTTCAGGCGTCTTCCTGCCATGCAATGTTTTGCATAGCTTAAGTCTAGTGACCTCACAAGTGAAGGAACCCAATAAACCCACTCGGATCCTTACGCATCTCACCTTGTGTGACCCATTAAGTAGATAGATGACACAAAATAGCAATCATTACATAGATAACATTTGGTGTGTGTGTGTGCCAGATTATCTGTGTTAAGATTGGTTTTTTTTTAAATTATGAAATTAGATTTAAGGTGCCTCACCGTGGGGAATCCTGTAATGGGAATAATGGTTTGTTGCAGCTATAGTAGGATTTAGGTGAGGCTAGATAATGGTAAATGAAAGTGAAGTAGCTGAGTCGGTAATGTTACAGCTGTGAAGTAACGTTACAGTGTGTCCTTCACTCCTAAATAGGACATCACGACCTGTGCAGAGCTATGAATCAGTTCAAAGGCAGCTAACCGCGTAGCTAGCCTCCGTTAGGATGCATTCACGGTATTTTTTTTTTTAAACACTTTCCATGGTTTAGTTCACACACACTGCCCTCCTCATGACGCTAGCTCAGGTCACGCTAACAACATAGCGAGCTAGCGTTAAGCTACCGGCAGGCACAAAGAGCCCCACACAGCTGGCCCCATTAAACCCTGATCAACATGCAGCCGCTCAGTCTTACCTCTTTTCCAGAGACGCAAGCTCCAATGTCCCTGCACGGATCCACACTGCGCTTTATAAACGTGATTTAACGCTGCACTGAGCTAGCCAGCCTGGTGCAGTGTCTGGAGGAGATGCTCGGTGTCTGCTCACCGATGTTTGAAGAACTAGCTTTTCCTTTTCAGGCTCTCATACTACAATACAACTTCAGCTCTGGCCCGTAAAACACCATATAAACGCGCCACGAAAAATAATGTAAGCCGATAAACGTCGGCGATGAAGTGTAAATGACAGAAAGCGGGCTCACATGACACTCTAATGAACAAATTCACCTAAAAGCAAATACACATCAGAGCCTAATTTCACCGTTTAATGTGGTGTCACGGTAAATCGCATAATACACACAACCACCGTGAGCGGTGGATATAACTTTACCGACCTCTAGTGGACTTTAAAACACACTACAGGAACAAAATAAATGACAACGAGTTTGCGCTTTTACAAAAATGTTACGGTACGACCCAAAGCATGATGGAGGCTAAACACACGTGACGTAACAAAACCAGCACCAATTGGCTTCCAGAAGGCGTGGCCACAGATAACGGACCCTCCGTCTGTTGTCGTTAACGGACAAGTCTGTTGACAATCATGTGAATTACCAAGAATCGGTGAGTTTTTGGTGCCGCACAGGGAGACGGAAATGACGACCACCGATGTAGAAACACGCTGAAGTAAGTCAGACGATGTCTCACATTAAAACACCAGCTTTAGCGTCATGCTATCGAGCTATAAAAGCTAGCTGCTAATTATAACACAAGCTAACTATCGATGATTGAAAGTAATTGATTTAAAATTGATGCTAGATAGTATTAGTGGCATGTGGTTGGAGGTGTTTATAGCTATAATCAGCTGTTTTCTTGCTGGAATCACAGTCATGAGTGTCTTAATTGTGTGTCTCCTCCTCTGATGGGTCTCCAGTCAGTGAGATGTCTCTGGCTCAGAGGGTTTTGTTGACCTGGGTCTTCACCCTGGTCTTCCTCATCATGCTGGTCCTGAAACTGGACGGGAAGGTAAAGGTTTTTCTCTCCTGATGCCTGTCAGTGTGTCCTTATAAGCTTCCTATTTGTTCACCCTATACTTTAGCAGTTTGGCCATTTACTGTTGTGTTTACTCAATCCCATCCTCTCAGGATTCACATCTTTTCACCCAAGCAACAAATGGACCCATCCACACTGAAACAAATGGTAAATAATCACCTTGTTTATGTCCATCTTCTCCACTTTCCTTCCTCTCCAGGTGCAGTGGAACTGGTTCCTCATCTTCCTCCCGGTCTGGGTATTCGACGGCATCCTCATCCTCATGCTTGCCATCAAGATGGCGGGTCGCTGCAAGCCCGGGTACGACCCGCGCAACGGCTCCCCGGACCTGCGCCTGCGTACCTGGTACCTGACGGCCATGCTGCTCAAGCTGGGCTTCTGCCTGACGCTGTGCGCCAAGCTGGAGAAGCTGGCCGACGTCAAGCTGACTTTCGTGTGCATACCGCTGTGGACCATGTTGCTGGGGGCGCTGGTGGAGCTGGGGATGAACATCTTCCCTGAAAGGAGGGAGGCCTAGGAAAGGATGCATCGTTACACACCAACGCAATCATCAGTTCAGACATTAGTAGTCATTTTAAGAAGAGACTTTGTGTGGAAATACAAATCAGTGTGTTCAGACCTCGGTGGAGTCTGCCGTCTGTCCATTCGTGTTCAAAACAAAAAAAATGGCAGTATTTTCCATACGAAGGAATGCCAAAAGGGGATCAACTGTAAATGTATGACTACTGTGAATCTAACACTGGAAGACACAATAAGCTCCTCCGGTGTTTGCTTTGTGTTCTGAA